TGCATTGCTCACGGTGCATCTGCTAGCTTTTCAATGCGGGGATACCACTTCGTCAGGTAAATTCTGAAAAACTGAGCTAAAATGTTGATGAGGAGTGATTAAGTGGTCTTTGGATATACAGGTCTTATACAATACGAAATGTGGACTGAGCTATTCTTCTTCGCATCTTGGATTCAAGAAAGAACCACTGGCACGACGCCTCGAGAACCACTGTGATGGTCCAGCTGTCATTCCTCTGAAGGCAAAAAATTAACACTGAGAAATTTGAAGCAAAAGTCATGGACGACTTCGAATGTCTTATTGCTTGTAACAACTGATCTGCCTGGACGTTAGAAGGAGATCATCCCCTTTTTAATTACCTTTGTAACTAATAAGATCAATGTGGGCGCTCTGGGAAAGCTAGAAGAACTTTGGGACAACGGATCAATAACCTATTTGAAACCTTCGGTCTAGAGTAATGTGGTAGTTTTATTCGTACTTTTTAGCGGAGTTTCTCAGCGTTAATGCAAAAAAGGCGTTCAGAACTACTGGTTACCAAGTACGATCTTCGCCGTAATAATATACTGAGAGTGTCTCTTATTCTATCTAATACTGAGAGTGTCTCTTATTCTATCTACTTAAGAAGACTTCACAGCGGAGTGCGAAATTGTTCAATCTTCTTGTTGAGTTAATTATCATGTTAAAGTTGCCGATAATGACCATTTATAAAGTGATACATTCTCTGAGAAACTTTCCAAAGTCCATATGTAAACTTCGTGCCCGTATTAGTCTTTGGAGCACATACAAGAAGGATTGTCACAAACCTCAGTCCATATCTTTTTGACAGTAAACTCCGATGTAAAATCGATGTTAATATAACTACGCAAGGTAAAAATCTGAAGTCAAAGAAATACATGCAGACGTCGAAGAAAATGGTGAAGTCGTGGTTTCCACGTCTTTCGGCCTCTCAGTAATTAAAACACGGTTAACAATATCTACTTTGATGATTAAGCAAACATGAGATGGTTATAAGTTTTATTCGGCCAGCGATTTAGCGCGTTCGCCCTCTGCAGAGTCGCAACGATCCGGGTCGATTATCCACAACTATTCGTTATTGCGATTTGGACCCTCTTAGCCTCATCGAGTCGAACTCATTGGACTAGAACACTGACTGAATGAACAACCTTACTCGATAATGCCAACAACATTGTTGACAATGGTAATATCATCAATAATTTAGAGACGATAACATAAGTCGGTGATAAGAAACACACACAGTATATAAACCGCTAACGAAGTCGGTGAGTTATTCGGAATTAGTCCGATTTTTGCATTCATCGCCACTAGGTTCACGCCACAGCTGACCAACTAACCGTATCGTGTTGCTAACCGGTGGGGGACAACCTACTTGACATTGTAGGTTGTAAAGTCGCCACTTTGGCAAAAAAAAAGATTTCATCCACTTCAACAAAGAATATTGCATCCCTATGAGACAAGTTTTTCAGAATGAAAATGAAAGAAGATTCGCAGCGAAACACAGTGGGACGATTACCTCCACAAGTGAAAGATGGAGAGGCTGTCGAACCATCACTGCCACAAATAATCAGATCAGATCCTTCAGACGGGGAAGTAGGGAAAACATCAGAGGACGACAAGAAATCAACCGATTTTGAAGAAGTGAGTTCCGTTGAGATCGTGATCTCGATACACAGATGATTGTTGCTTGCTACCTACCGTTGTTTTTAGAAATGCAATACACCTTGTTTACCAAAAGATAAAACACAGGTTAGGTACTCATTCACAACCAATGTTTACGTTATAATATTTTCAGCAATTTTCTCAATGTTTAGGCTAGTAGTGATAGCGGGGATGGCACAAAGAATGCACTAAGTGCACCAGGTGCACCAAGTATACCAACTGCACCAGATGCACCAGGTATACCAATTGCACCAAGTGTACCAAGTGCTCCAAGTATGCCAAGTATACCAAGTGTACCAAGTATATCAAGTATACCATGTACGCCGAATACACCGAGTCCACAACGGCAAATTGTAAATGAGGAGGCCAAGAAAGAACTATCGCCGCCACCACTGCTGAACAGGATAAGCGAGGACCGCTACTTTGTAACAGAAGTAAGTGAATTGTCAGGAATTCGCTTTAAAAGAAATTACAAAATAACTCATTTCTACTATCGCGCCAATCCCACAACAACTCATAGGTAAATGAAAGAGGAATCGACATAGCTATAGTACATAATGGTTCGAGCACACTACTGATGTAGCTTACGAGAGTAATGCAAATGGGAACGTTTAAAACATTTCAGTATCTCTAACTGATCAGCCAATATGGGAACAAAGCTGAAATGTGTGTTTAGTCGATGTCCCTTTACGTTATTTCAATAAAAAGTAGGTCTTTCAAAGCAGATGTTTGTGTACTATTCATATTTTGAATCCCATCGTAAAAGGGCGCGTGTAGCGCAGTGGTCGGAGGCTAGCTGCAACACAAACGCGGGATCGATCCCAGCGCTCAGGGCCCACCAAGCCTACCATCCCTCCGGGGTCGGCGAATTGGCACCAGACTTGTCTGGGAGGATAGCAGCACTGACACAATACATCGTCGGCTACCGCGACTCATTGTAAAGGCGAGATATGCATTCGATCACCTCCAAACGATGCTTAATGAAGTCGAATGGAAAGCGCATCAGGGATTAATCAACGTCGAGAACTTTATCCTTCATCCTTCATCGTAGAAATACTTATTTGAACTTCAGTACTTTCAAAGTATCAAAAATCTTAAATCAATAAAAAAACAAAGCTACCTTAGCTACTAAGCAAATATTAGATCGCATCGAATAAATCGTATAAGGGAACTTCTCAACGTTGAGCTTAACCGTAATGTCGAATCGAACCAGAGTATTAGGCAATGTGCTAGTGTAGCAAACCAGCTTAAGAGGGAAAGAAATCCTTTGAGGGAGTAGGTGACGAACTACTATTTGCTGTTCCTATTCCTATCTACACGTTTGGACCTAAGTGACATCACCAGTAACAGTATAAGTTGGAACGTCGAAATGGCAAGGATCTTATGCGATGCGGTTGAAAGCATAAAACAGCTTACAGAATCTTATAAAAGAGCTGTCTTGGTAAAATTTCCAAAGGGCAAGAGAAAGTGTTGCCATTAACTAGAGAAACATAGTGCTGATTTTACCCTGGATGAGATAAGCGTTGTCCTGATCTGAGTTGCAACTTCTTTCTCGGCGCCGAAGATTTCGGTTGATAGTGTTGCGCGGAGATTCTGGATGCTCATGAATAAGGATAAAGAAAAAATTATAAGAGCACTAGAGGCCCCTATGTTACTGCATGAAAATTAGACAGCGTTTTTCCACCTGACCATAATTTAACCTCGGTATTAATGATCAAAACCTTGGATTGTTAATCTAACGCGAGGTCGATTAAAGTATTATCAACTCGTGTTAGGCTAACAATCCAAGATGATGTTAGACAATGTGATTATTCTTGATAGTAGTCAAATGGAGCACAGAATGTATTTTCAAGTAGTATCTTATCATTCTACATAGATATTGGCAATATTGTTATACAAGGATCATATGTGGACTACCGCAAAGACAATGGGAGCCATTTCTGACTCACAAGTTTTGTTCTTCGTTTTTTTCGCTCGTGTCTCTTCTATTGTAGAAGTTCTTCGAGTATTTTTCGCGCTAGGTTGCTAATTTCGCTCAATTTAATTTCCTATCACTCGGCCCCCAGTAGTGTACCAACCTAGCTAAGGATCTGTCCAAACACATTCGGTAGTATAGCTCAGAAATTAACCGTTGTTACTTTCTTGCAAAAAAAAAACAGAAAAATCGAGCAGTCATAAGAAAACTGCTATGCTTTTCGTGTTCAGCGGAATAATTGAAAGCAATGAGCCTGCTGACACACTACAAAAGGCAATAAACATTTTAGTAGTGCTAAGTCAAGTTCCTCGATAGTTGGATAGCGCAGTGGTAGTGGCGCCGACCGGACCCCTCAAACCTCCCATCCCTCCAGCACCGGGATATTCGTACCAAACGCCTCTGGGACTTGCTGCCCTCCTCCGATCAATGTGCGAACAACCTAACACGGCTAACCCAATATTCAAAGGGTTTCGACCTGACCAGTTTCAACGGTATTCATAAAGTCCGCAATTCTTCAATACCTGAATGCAGAATGTTTTAAACCATGTTGAATGCGAGGAAATGATTCGAATACAAGATTTCGTGTGATGTCAGCTAATGCAGAAAAACCTTGTCATATTTGACAGCGTAAAGTATTCAAGGATTGTTGTGGAGGGCTTTGAGGGACGAAAATTTAACCAGCATTCTGAACAACGAGCGTTGAATCATGAGGAAACTACTAAGTGGTATATTTGATAAGAGTCACTAAATGGGTACGTAGTTGCATTGCGATGAAAAGAGTATATATGGAAGAGCATCTGCAATATTCACATCACAAAAGAGGAAACAAAACGTATGGCCGTTAGTTTAGTTATTGACTGGTCTAAAATTATTACAAGGGGTGCAGCTTTAGTCGCATATGGTATTTTGGTTTGTTTGGAATCCACACTGTGAATATCTGAGTCGTTTAAGCGATACTGTTTCCTATCGTAGTTTCCATCGTTAACAAATGGAAGCATATCCACACTTCATTAGTGCCGTCAGGATGGAAGCGTATCGAGTGATCACCAGATTTCAGTCTTTCCCTGGCATTATTTTTTGCATACGAGGAATATGTTGCAGAGTGCTGAAAAGGAAACATTGGAGAAAGCCATGGCAACGTTTGTCGATGAGGCGGCGGAGAGAATAACGGCTGTGGGTTACTCGGATCGTCTCATAGTAATGATTCTTTGAGCAACTTGTTAGGACACGATTCACTGAGAGAAACGTTTATATCCGTAACACAGTTTAACGTTATGGGATTCTGGCTATTCCAGCGGCGCAGTGGATTGTTTGCGAGAACTGTAATGCACTGAAAGACTACTGTGATATTTTAGGATCTTCAACACGAGGCGTGGTATCATGGCGCTCTTCCTCTAGAAGACATAAGTGCTCTCCTTACGTCAACTGGAGAATTCCTAATACGAGAGCTGGAACCCGACGACTTACGAGGCCCGATGGTGTGTATGCGCTTATCAACCGTGGATGTTCTATGCTTCCACTTGACAACTAACTCAACATTTGATTAACTTTTAATGTAATCATTAACGAAAATCTTTCATAGGTTGACTGAAACGAACCGCAACTAAAGCGAATTCGCCTTGGTCCAAATATGCGGACACGCCTTTTCCTTTAACGGAGAACCAGCTTTAAAACAACGATTTACGTAACAAATAAAGAGTTCATGATGACTTGAATAAAGAGGGTGAGAAGAAAACTGACCCATCGTTTGAAATCTAACTAGTTGGTGGGAATGAATAAAAAGCCTGAGGAGCAGTGATGAATGGCTAATCAAGACAACTGTCAATAGTCGAAGGTACTCAAAAATTGACAAATTCTATTCATCTCTTTGAGCTTCCGCCCAATCTAATGAGCTAGTTGTTAGGAAGACCAACGACTGTTTCGTAAGCCGAGGCAACCGTAGCGATAGCAGTCGTTCCTAGTAATTTTTTCCCTGAATATTTATGAATAGATATAATAAATACATCACTATACTATACTTAACTGTGCGGAGTCATACAAGACTTCGACAATCGGTTATATCAAAGCTTCTTCATAACTTTCTTTCCGCCAATCAATGTCACAAAAAGTGGCGCTCATTATCTAGGAAGCTGCACGCTATGGATAGGTCAATCATTAACGAAAATCTTTTAGCCTTGTTTAACTGTCCGACTCGGAGCGTTGTTGAAAGACTTCCCAATTCACACCGTACAGATCGGTGAGCCTAGATATTTCACCATAGATGGAACTCATAGGGCGAGAACGGTAGTTGGCATTGTACAGTGAGTTTCTGAAACAAGTCCTCAAAAAAAAATGAAATCAAAGATATTTGAAATGAAAAACTTTATATCGATCGAGGCAAGAATTGTCTGGAAACTGGATTTCTAAAGCTTAAAGTGCAAGTCTAGGAAACATTATGAAGAAAAAATAGCCATACAAGATGATACACTACTGCTGAAACCTATACCAAAGCAACCTTGGGAACTCTCCAAGGACAAGATCGCGCTGATTAGGAAGCTTGGAGAGGGCGCGTTCGGAGAAGTGTGGCAAGGAACCCTGCGCCAGTCGGCGACGCGGACCGTGTTGGCTGCTATAAAAGTGGTAGGATGAGTGAAACTAGCCAGATCCCAGATTTTTTTCCTCGGAAAAACACGATGTTTCAGACGAAGCTAAAAGAAGACAACAAACGATATATGCAAGAGTTGTTCAAAGAAGCAAGACTAATGCGACAGTACCAACATATGTAGCAATAAAATGTCTTTAACTCTTTATAAAAATGATAGAAAACGGTATCGATTTAAATTTCTAGCAACGTCGTCGGTTTCTTTGGAATAATAATCGAGAACGACAACGTAATGATAGTGATGGAGATGGTGAATGGAGGAGGACTTGATCACTACCTAAAGAAGAATACTGTACGGAAATTCCTTGCTTCCATTTTTATTTTCTCCTTTCCTTTCCTTTTTCTTTTGAGCCACTTTTTTAAAATAAACAGAATCACTGTAGTTCCTAAAATGAGGAGTAATGAGGTATACATTCTCAATGTTTATAGTTTTTAGGTTGGTATACCCGACAAATGTTCCTACTCGTTCGATGTCGCTCTAGGCCTGTACTATCTTCACAGTAAACGTTGTATGCATAGGTTAGACCTTATCCTTATCAAAAAAATCATGATTGGGATTATCTGCTACTTTCATAGTCCGGTAAGATACTTGGATATTTGGACGTCTTCACTAGTTTTGCGGTTTGCAGCATAATCTCAACTTTTTGGAGACTTTCTGGTTTAACCGTTGTGGTTCCCTGGAATCCGGAGGTCAGCCTGGCCAAAATCTGCCCCAAGTCGTCACCATCACAAGCAGTCGCAGTCCTCGTGTATCCGAGGGAGATTCGGCACCATGCGACTAGTATGATGCCAGGATGGTGGTCGATCCTGGTATTGGTTTACACTTGGCTAGGCTTCCTGATGAATAAGTCGTACTTCTTCTCAGCTTAGCAGACCCTGCCTGGTGCATGGATCCAGTAGACGCTGTATCCATAGGTTAGGCCTTGTCCTTATCAAGAAATTGTGATTCGGTTTATCTGCTACTTCCACAGTTTGGTAAGAAATCATGCAAATGTGCACTGCGACGATTATGATCTAAAGGTATCACTTCCACATTCACAAAAACTCCTGATTTTCGATGATTACGTCATCCGACTACGGCAAATTTTCGTAGCGCGTAATGCGTACTGAACTCAATGCACACAGTCCAAAGTGTCCTCCTCCACCCGCTTGCGACAGAATCATTTTAACGCTATACTCATTAGTAACAGTCTTTATGGCACATTATTTGTACAGTAAACAAACAGCCACCGTAGATACGAACAACGAGCTCGTCAAAACAAATATTTTTCGTGAAAAAGTGTAATGTGTGTGCAGAAAATAGCTTCTATTCATATCTCTCATATCATGCCGGATATAACACTTACGGTGCGAAATTTTAAGTATAAAAAGTATTGCAGAAATGCACAGGCTGCAAATTGAATAATCACAAACGAGTGCCTTAAAACCGCTCCTGTTGTTCTAAATGTTCAACCACATAAGCATTTAAGTAATATCGTATATTTCTGAATGTGTTAGTGGAAGGCAGAATGTTGGTTATCACTATAGTTATCATCACTATCACTATAGTTATGTTAATAAAAGGGCTCGTGTGGCGCAGTGGTCGGAGGCGCCCTGCGACACACACATGGGATCGATCTCCGCGCCCGTGGTTCACCAAGCCTTCCATCCAGCCGGGATCGGCAAATTGGTACCAGACTTATCTGGGAGGATGGCAGCACTGGCTCGACACATCCGCGAGTCATTGTAAAGGCCAGATATGCATTCAATCACATCCAAACGATGCTTAATCAAGTCGAATGCATGGCACATCCCTCAGGGATTGATCAACGCCGAGAGCTCTATCTTTTTAGTTTTTCATCTTGTTGAAAACTCGAGGTTAAACCTCGCCTTCCTGTCTGTGCCAACATCTTTTCGGATTCTCATTCAAAAGCCGCCTAAAACTCTGAGTTTTCAGTGCTTCTTCATTATTGGTGATCATTGAAGAATGTCTTCTTTTTCACCTCACCGAAGCATGTCTATGTAGTGTCTATCTGCTGTACCGCATACATTTGAAAATCTATCCAAATATGACGAGAGAATATTCTGCATTCTCACTAAAATGCTCAACAGCTTTTCCAGATAGGTGTGGGGTAGAAAACGAATAGGTCATTTCGAAGGGAAGTTTCGTTCTTATGCGTGCAAGGGAGAATAGAGGTATGAAGAAATCGCAAGTGATTCTCATGCTCTGATGTGATATCTATAGATCCACCTAGATTTAGACAAGGTCAGACATTTTCCCAGAAGAGAATCGAAGACGAGAAGTAGCCAGTGCTTAATAATGGGAAGTAAATAAGGAGAATACTCAATCAGCCAAATTTATGACGAAATAGCTCATAAGATACCGATAAAACCATGTCGGAAACCACAGCTCTTCGAAAGCCATGAACGATTCGACAACGCAATAGAAAAACCTATGGTCGAATTGAACCAGAAAGACTAAAAATAGGGACAGAAACGGATATAGAATAAACGTATTTGAAATGGGTTTGTCTGTGGATCTACGTAGACAATTTTGCAGGGATTTGGCGTGCAGAAATTGCCTCATTGATACGGAGAAGAATATAGTGAAGATTTCGGATTTTGGACTATCGAAGCAAGCCGACGTGTACAAGATTCAGCCAAATGACAAAGTCCCTACGAAATGGTAAGAGAAACCAATCATGAATATAACGTTCACTAACATAGTCTGCCTTTGCCAAACTATTTCTGCAGCCGAAAAATTCAATGAAATGAATTTTTTGTATAGGCTATATCTTGTCAGAGGCATTTGTAGTAGGCATTTGTAGGTCAAGGGTTCTCTGGAATACGCCATGGACCGACCACTGGCTCAATCTCGCTCTCCAGGCTCATCAAGCCTTCCTTCCTTCCGAGGTCACGAAATTGGTGCAGACATGTTTTCGAGGGTAAAAACACTGGCCTGATACATTGAAAGGCCCCCAAAAGTCATTGAATAAAGCCATAAATGCAACCAGGTACCTCTCCAATGCTTGGCGTAGTCCAATGCGTGACGGCTTATCCCTCAGAAATTGATAAATTCCCAACACTGTACCATTTAAGTCCTATTGCAGTGAAATACAAGGAAAAGTTTTGAATGAAAAGTACCCAGTCTTACAATACAAAGCCTTAAAATGAGATAGTGGTGAGAGTTAAGCGTAGATTACGTATAGCGGTAATTTCGAGCTCTGCAGGCAAGCACCAGAAGTGATGACTAAACACATCTATACTCGTGAGTGTGATGTGTACTCCTATGGAATTGTAATTTGGGAAATATTCAACAATGCCAAAACACCGTTCGAGGAATACGACAATAAGACTGTCCGACAACGGGTTAGTGGCCAAAACTTTGTGCTCCGAATGGCGTACTCATACCAATACGCTTAGTTACTTCCCACTAATACTGACGGCTTTTCAAAAAAGAAATCTTTTCGCAAAAAGCTTCGTTTAACTATGTGAAAACGTTTTATAGTTATCAGATCCGAAGTTCCGCCCTCCACTCTCCGATGATATTCCGAAAGAGATTCGTGTAGTCGTAACAACATGCTGGTCAGCAGCTCCTGAAAATCGCCCGGCAATGAAGGAAGTGGCATGGATTCTGAGACGATTTCTTAAACACAAGTTAGCCATAATCCTATATTGTAATTTGCATAGCTTTCTGTATATGTGCTTCCATAAATAAGTGTTTGGTTGACAATAAATTAGAATGGCACATGTTTCAGTGGTCCAGATCGTATCGGTGAACAACCTAGGCCGCCAACTCCAGTACCTAATCCAGTTGCAATTGCACATGCTTCAACAAAAGCCGCCAAGCAAGCCTATACCACTCAACAACCCACCACCCCAACAACTCAAACACGAAAGGTACGACCAAAGTTTAGGAACGGCTTGACGGAATCATGTGTCAGTAGTTATCTGGCGTCGTACAAGTCAGCAAAACTGCATCCACATAAACTTCCCATTTCGGGATGTTTGTGGCGTGCTGCGAGGTGGTGTCACACTCTTCGGAGAGAGATAGTGGTCGAATGAGCAAACCAATAAAAGATCGAGGATAAAGCGCCCAGTGTCGATTAATCACTGAAGGATGCATCATGCATTCGACTTCATCAAGCATCGTTTGAGGTGACTGAATGGATATCTGGCCTGCTAATGACTTTCGGTGTTACACGCCCCTCTAAAGAGCAGATGAGTAAACAGTATTATTCCACCAACACTGAATGCGATAACAATCATTAACGTGGCCGATAAAATCAAGACGAATCCAACAACTAACACATAATAAGCGTTGATCTCAATGCACGCGTTAAAAGGAACTTTGGACGCCATACATTAATAATTGTCTATTTTCCTTCTGGTTGCTTCTCCTATAGTAAAATTCCTTCTGCAACCAAGATTGCTAGGCGAGCACAAGCACTTATACTCTCTTTAGCGATAAGTACGCTTTGTCGTGACAGGGTTGCTTTGTGGGGAGCCATGCTAATTCGTCTAATTTCCTTCTCGCAGGGAGGAGCTGGTGGAGCTACAGTCATGAAGACAACAGCAGCAGTGAGTGGTCGTCGTGATGGAAAAAAGGCAAGATATTCCCTGTTGTTATTCAGTTTTCAATTGATTTCTGCTGCCGCTTACTTGGTTTACAATCTTCCATACAATTTAAACCCTAACTACAGATGGGTCCAACTCCTCGGAAAGGAGAACAGGAAACTCAAGTCACAAGAAAAAAGCCATCAGATAAAAAGCCGTCAGATACGGCCATCGCAGCTCCCAGAAGACGTCGGCCGTGACTCTGAAACGAATTATGAGCTTTTGAAGTTGCTTTTACTTCGTTATAACCCATTCTATTCCCTTATGGAATTTTCACGTCTTTCATGTATTCGGTATATTTATTTTCGCCTAATCTTAAGCACATATGCATCCAAAACTTTTATAAAACTGCACAAAAAGTTAGACAACGTTCTTCGTCTGTGAGTACTTCTGAGGTTGTTCTTCTCAAGATCATTGTTGTTGAAAGTCTCTAATAAACATAATCTTATCATCTGCAACTGTTATGTTGGTATTTGGTTTGCTCTTTAACTCTTTCATTCTAATATGGAGAATTGTGAAAAGGTACTGTAGATATAAATAAAATTATGATCGAATAGAACATACAAGACGAAGGAAACTGAGGAGACACATGAGAAAAACAAGGTCGGCATAAACGTATTCTAGCGATGGATGACGGCCACTTGTACACTCTGCCAATCTCTCAAATAACGAAGTTTCCCATCGTGTCAAATTAGAACCCTCTACTTTCCCACAGTTTGGATGTGCCCGCATGAGGAGGACGGCGAGGCGAAAGCGCCTTGCACTAACATTGTTTATTACCCACACGCCAACTAGTTTTGGTTGGGGCTAAGAAAAGGAAATCAATTAACAGCTTATGTCGTAGCCTAATGCTACAGGGTTTCCTGGACAGAAACAATCCAGAACTGGATTCAAAGTGAAGAAATCTGTCCAATCCAATGAGCACGAAACTTACTCGGTGTGGCAAGTATGTACTGCACAGATGCCAATCCTGCATGTCAAAATATATGGAGGGATATGATTTGCTGCTGTGAAAACTGCGATAGTGCTGGGGGGTCACAAGTCTCTCACTGTATAATAGACTACGAGATGGTCGTTTTTAGAAATTTCTCCAGAATCGATGGCGCAGTAGTTAGAGGTGCCCTATGCTAGACACTGGATCGGTCTCTGGTACGATCCTGAGCCACGGACTTAGCATGTCTTCCACTCCTCTGAGGTCGGCGATTGGTATCAGACCTGTTTAGGAGGATAGCAGCACTGACTTGTTACACTGACGAGCCACTACGAGTCACTGCGTAGGTCAAATGGCGTTCAGTCAACTCGGCGATGAATTCGAGTGCATACGCATCCCTTAGTTGCTGATCAGCGCCAAATGCTTCATCCTTCGGCTAGTGGACCCTTAGCAGAATGTTGGCAGAATGTTCACGATGAGTTGCTAGTGCTGTCGACGTGGTACCTTGCTGGATCAACGCCGTCAAGCTTGAAACTATGAATCGTCATTCCGTGAATAATCCAGCGTAGTGCATAAACCTCGGCAAAAATGTCGTTGATTGACATGGAAGTTGCTGATTTCAGCCTAACAACTGTATAGTTGACACTATGTAAAACAGAAATCACCCCAGGAATTCGATGTTTCACACGTTGTCTGCCTTCCTTCAAATGGTCATCTTGAAACTCCATAATGCACGCGAAAGTTACATGGTGTTGGGACGGCTCGTTGATATAGGAATACCAAGTAGTTAGGACAATTCGGTCAAAATTAGCTGCTCGCCTTTGTGTACGCCACGCGGGACTTCTTGTGATTAGCAGTCACAATGCCGGACACCTCAAACTTGGGTAATTAAACCGTTTATCATAATTATACAACAATCATAACAATACAACTCTACAATTAATGCAACAATGATACGTGTTATGAATAGGCGCAGCCTGATCACTGGTGTTCAGGTTGCTTATGAGTCAAGAGATTGGCATATGACTTTTACTACATTAGATGGAGGTGAGGCACGAATGCGCTGACTTGGGCAGCATTGATGTGACATGGACTAGCTAACCGTGGAGCCGTTTATATACCTTTGCGCTGGGCGGAGTCAGATTACAGTAGGCGGAGTCGGGCTACAGTAGGCAGAAAGACGGGTGCTGGAAACATTTCTCAAGCCTTGCGATCTGATACGGCGATGTTCAAAGCCTAGGACCGTAAGTGCAGATATTTTATGAGATAGGCGCCAGCGAAATGTTAGACATACGGCTATCAGATCGTCATGGAGAAAAGGTCATGGGAGAAGCATTTGAAATGTTTGGAAGGGTTATCAGATCGTTATGGAGAAAAGGTCATGGGAGAGGTATTTGAAATGTTTGAAAAGGATATAATTGATTTACATAGAGAACATTCCAATATTCGTGAAGAATGTTCTCTATACATGGATTGATGTCGATAAGATACCCGATAAGAGCGCATATGGCCCAGTAGTCGAAGGCACCCTGCAATACACATGGGATTGATTCCCGCACCCAAGGCCCACCAAGCCTTTCATCCTTCCGGGGTCGACAAATAGGGGAACTTATCCGGGGGATAGCAGCACTGGCTCGATACATCGGTAGGCCACTTCAAGTCATTATAAAGGCCAGATCTGCATTCGTTCACCATCAACGATGCTTAATGAAGTCGAATGCATGGCGCATCCCTAAGGGATTGATCAGCGCCGAGACTTTTATGCTTTTTTAAGATATCCGCTAAATTAGGTCAAAGATCACATTACATTCATTTCTTACCACAATTTGGATATTATGACGCATTTTCTTTCGGGCTTTTCCCTAGCGGCTATACGGAATCGCTTGTTCCTCTCACCACAGATGTTACAGGGCGCCGAGTTGAGAAAGGTTATTTCGTACGCGTCATAATCTGCAAAGAACAACCACTATCTGAATGAGTCCCGTAGAGATCTCTCGTCCATAGAATGTGTTTCATCACTTTTATGAATCCTGAAAGTAATAGCGCGAAGTGGACCCGAGCCATGGATTCGAGGGTGGGTCGAGCCTGCAAGTAGCGCGCTCCGCCGGATCGCTCCCTCCGCTCCGGCGGCGCGGTGACGACCTAGAGTCGTTGCTGTCCAGGTCCCTGTCGCCGTCTCCGTCCCCGTCCCGTCCTCGTCTCCGTCGCCGTCCCCGTCCCGTCCTCGTCGCCGTCGCCGTCCCCGTCCCGTCCTCGTCGCCGTCGCCGTCCCTGTCCCGTCCTCGTCGCCGTCCCCGTCCCGTCCCCGTCGCCGTCGCCGCCGGCGTGTTGTTCGGCGATAGCCAGGATTTTAGCTTGGTCGCTTTCCCAACCAATTACTATTCAACTTTTAGCTTAATATTTGTGTCGGCCCTTCAGCTCTTCTTCTACAACTCATTCTTGTTCGTATAAAAGTCGTCATTCTTCGGACTCGGTGTTTTCTTCTATTAGGGAATCGGTAACTCTTTCCTTTGAATAGCATTGGTTTCTAGCATTCGTGTTTCCAGAACTATGAAACCCCGATATAGTATGTTCGTGACCGTCGTGGTGAAAGTAGTTTGTAATCTTACTGATATATATATATGTATATATATATGTATATATATATATATAGTGATTTGCTGACCATATCTAAATGCGGACACACTTTCCATCAGCTGGGAAAACCCGCGTGCGCTACATGGGTTGACAAGGTACCAGAACTCTGAATGTCATCGAATCTTTGTCGTGCAAACTTTCCAGAGTGGTAAAACGCCTAAAGCGCATTTTTGTGACCATTTTCACTGCTTGGCAATAGAATCCAACCGAGAATACCTTGTCATTCGGCTCGGTGGCTGTCAGTGCAGAATGCTGTTAGGCCATACACTCTGTATGTGTTCTTTTAAGTGTGCACTCGAGAAATGTCCACGTGGTCTGAGGATGCGAGGAGCGAAGACGCGGTTTCATACGCGTTTTGGTGTAAATGTCTTTGAACGGCTTTGTTCGTTTTAAAATCTACTCAAACTTCCAGGATGCAGAGCGAGCGCTCGCCGAATGGTCGGCAGAAACGCGCTTCTTTGATCAGGGCGGCCGAAAACATAAAGAAAGCTGTGCCGAAGAGAAGACAACACGATGGTGAGTGCCGTAGTGCAGCACATTACAGACTTCGTTTTATCCCTATGTTAACATCCGATGTACATTTGGACTTTTTTTTCATGTAGGAGCTGTTTGGAGTTTTAGATGAGTTTGAAGTGGAATCGATTATCTCTCATACTGTTAGGAATGAACAAATCCTATACACTGTAACTTGGGTTGGATATCCTGGAGAAACCACTGAAGTGACTGAAGATGACTTGAAGGTCGATTTTCCACTTAGTCTAGGAATATTTAGCTAAGTGGACTTATAGAGTAGGAATTGTTTCCTTATCGCTCTTAGTGGTTCATTATGCGTGATACCTTCATTTTAGAACTGTCAAGAGCTTCTTCAAGCATACAAAAGCAAGCTAATTAGTTGTGGAAGCTTGGAAACGAAGACATCAGGTGATGATTCGGCTTCACGACCCGAGGATGCTAAACGACGATCAACGGGCGGGGAGAATCGAAGCGAAAGGCTTTCTTCTTCATCACCTACAAAAGTATTTCCGTTTTTTATCTCTAGAACTTAACAGAAATAAATTCGAGGTCGAGATTTCCACTCGTTCATTATTTATATGAGGGTCCCGTGGTTCAGTTGTAACAAAGTCGTTAGGTATCCAACAAAAGGTACGATATTTACACACTTGAATACCTGGATACTTGGATGGGCCATCCTAATCTCCATTCTTCGGAGTTTTGCTGGTCAGCTTTCGTGTTTCTCCGGAGTCCCGAGGTCAGTCTGACCACGGTCTGGCCAGGTCGTCACCACCACAGGCAGTGGCCGCCGTTGTGGATCATAGGGAGATTTGCCACCATCCAACTAGTTTGATACCAGGACGGTGGTGGATCCTGGTACTGGTTTACTCTTAGCTGGGCTTCGTGGTGAAAACGCCAGACTCCTTAGCTTGAGAGACCCTGCTGGAGGATGAATCGCCCTGCTGTACATCGCAGTGCGACACCCAGGAGCACCTCCCAGCCGCAATGAGGATGTAAACCGTTAGGAGGAATGGTACGATGAGATGGGGCAAGTAGCATTCGTTCGAATAATATTATAAACACAATATCTTATGAAGTAATTTGCGTTCGAAGGATCAATCTTCATGTTGCGATTCGGAAATCGTCACTTTTTGTAAGGTACAATTGTTTCTTTGTCTTCTTCCCAGATTTGTTTCTTTGTAGTTTTTTAATTACTTCAATGGAGAAACCACTTTTTAAGCGTGTCGATAGGGGCGACATAGTGAATGACACCATGAAGAATGCTGCCAACGCTAAAGTAAATTCTACTCAGAAAACGAAAACGAAGAAGAATACGAGTGCATCTGAGTCCAATGGTGTATCGAAGTGTAATGGAGATACGTCTTCCAGTCCACCAAATAAGGTAGAATTCGATGTTGGTGGTGAATCTGTGGAGCTTCTATTCTTTTGATTTTTAGCGCACTCGAAAGACAAAGCATGAGATTGTGCCTGATGCCCAACTTGGTTACACTAACGGTTGCGCTGTTGATGCGTACAAAGGATTCTCTAATAATGTATTCTGCAGCTTAGCTATGCTTTTATTGTTTCATTTGGTGTTTGCTTTGTTTTTAGTATCCTGAGCCAGTCGTCCTTGTAAGCTACAAAGAGCCTTTACCGTGTGGTTTCGAGAGTAAGCAAGACGAGATCGTTCCCATTCGCCTCATTGCGGAGGCGGATCCAAAGGTAGAAACGATGTATTTAGGGTTGTTCTGTTCTGTTTCTTTTTGAAATGATCACAGTTTCACTGCATAGATGTGAATGTATACAACATTCATAGAGAAAATATGGGCTGAAAGACAGGCGAAACGAAGGACCCGAATGGTGTTGTGGTGAACGCGTTAACCTCCTGGGAAGGGTAATAGCGCGTTCGTTCCCCACCGCGGACACCTGCGATCTGGAGTTTTGCGAATATCTCAGCATCGTTATGGGCGTTCATTTACTAATTTATACTGATCTCTTTCCAGAGACTGATTACGCATTTGGTGGAGTTGCTGTCAACCGGAAGTCGGAAAGCATCTCTCTGATTTTCTTGTTGGGTGCCAAGCACGAGAAAGCCATACTCTCATTCCGCTCAGTGCCTAGGTTAAATTTCCGTTGGTTTATAGCTGCGAGTTAGAAGCTGGTACTAATGTTTGTCCTTCTGTTATGAAGCTTGCTGTTATTGTGATCACTATGGCAGTCCTGTTGTAACGGCTAGTTCTGTTGTATTTATTATGGTCACTATAGCCTTTTTCTTGCACTGATCAGTTCCGTTGTATATTTCCCAGACCTCTGCAACTTGTTATTACCATTGTTCCCTTTTGTTTGTTTGTTTTTGTCTACTTCAAGCGACTTCATATTTTCAAACAGAGGTGAGAGCGTTACAGTTAATAAATTACGTTGTCTTTTGTTTACGCGCTATTCATATTTGCCAACACACGTACACTTTATCGGCTTGCTAAGGGGCGCATGTGACACAGTGGTCGGAGACGCCCTGCAATACAAATGGGACCGATTCCTCCATGCCTGTCCCACCAATCCCCTCATCCCTCCTGGGTCGGCATAGTAGCACAAACTCAATGCATCGGTAGTACACCGCAAGTCGTTGTGCAGGCCAGATATGCATTCAATTACCTCCAACGGTGCCTAATGAAGTCGAATGCATGGCGCATCCCTAAAGGATTGATCAACGCCGAGACCTCTATTCTTCATATTTTTATCAACTTGCTGTATCCATGTGTGAGGGTATTTACGTGTACACATACGTACACGTGTATATGTATGCCTATATAATTATGTATGCATATGCGTGTATATGTGTATTGGATTAGAATGTATCTAACGGATCTCTTATGTTCCATCCCGAATAACCTGCTGAATGTTAGCTAAGCATATGAGTCGCGGAGATGTCCAGATTATTAGGGTACTTCCCAGTTCTCATCAAAGATTGGCAAGTACGTGGCAGGCGCTTCAACCCCCATTGTCTGATGAACAGGATTCCTTCGGGTGGGGCAGCAAGCACTGCGACTGGTCGACCCGCATGTCGAGAACGATATATTGACGTATGGGAACTTGTACATGGTGGTCACATTGCTCCTCGAGAATGAACGTCTCCATTTTTTATGCTTTCCACTCCATAATTCGGTTTTTCCACGTATTTTGCTAGCACTTCCGGACTTTCTTTTACTCTTTGTTCTTTCCTTTCTTCTTTTATTTTTGCTCTAAGTTCTTCTATGTCTTCTACTACGCTGTTGGAACTTTCCGAGCTATGGGGAAAAGAAGCAGAAGATCCACCATACAGCTGCGCCCTGTCGGCATGTGGTAGTCGCTTTCACAACATATAGGAACATAAGTTGGTATTTTTGAAACATTCGTCCATTCCTTACGATAACTGTGGTTTGTCATAAATCAAAAATAAAGGTTAGAAATATTTGCAAAACTCCGGACCGCAGGTGTTTGCAAATACATTATGGGGCACATTATGCTTTCATGTGATTTCTGTGCGGTTGGTCTCCACGTGACATAGTGGAAACCTCATAGAAAGCGGTGAGTGTGAACAGCTGTGTTCAATGCGATTGAAATCTTGGTTTAGAGTTCCTTTGTTTGGTTATGGAGGCGTCTGGCCGAGTAGATTGCTATCAACTTGACCTTTCCAGGCTCTGAGGAAGGCGAAATTCGCCGAAACGTCAGCTTATTCGTGAATAAAGAATAATAACACTTCGCGTTTCCTCAAGAAAAATACGAAGAATTACTTGATCAATGCCGAGGTTAATAGAAAGTCGGTCGTGGGAGTTACACGAGTTATATTTCGCAACATACCCTGCCATTAAGAGAAGAAAAAGGAAGTAAATAAAAGGGTTAAGATTGTGATTATAAAGGCTAGATTTTTTGGCGTTGATCAATCCCTAAGCGATGCACCATGCATTGGTCTTCATTAAGCATCGTTTAGAGGTGATTGAATGCATATCTGACCCAGAAAATGACTTGACTCGTAGTGGCTAGCGATGTATCGAACCAGTGCTGCTATCCTCCCAGACAAGTCTGGTACCAATTCGCCGAGCCCGGAGAGATGAAAGGCTTGGTGGGCCTGGGACGCGGTGTTCGATCCCTCCCACGTGTACTGCAGGGCGTCTCGGACCAATGCGCCACATTAGCGTATTATCATGAGCGCAAACGAAATAACGATCAGTTACTGGTAAGATCATTTTTTATACGTTTGACATATGATGAACGGTACTGTTCTTTTAGTTACTATCTGTAATCCTTCAGTAACCAAGGGGTTGAGGAGTTGAGTGGTTGGAAACACGATAGAGTTTTTCTCATTACGCTAAGGGTATGTCTCACTTTTCTAAAATGTTGTTCATTTCTTAGGTTCCATTAGGAATAAAATGTTCAGAAAGTTGAAGAACGATTTCAAATTTGAGTCTTGAAGTCAAGCACTGGTTGTGCGTTGTAAGCATCAGAGCACTCTAAAGTACGGCATTCACGATCGAAACAATTCTAACGGGCTTCCGAAGACCACAACTTCACAGTGGTACAGTAGGAAAAGTTGCACCCTGGTGTGTTGCAGTTGCAATCTGTGGATTCCAATGGTCCTTACTGCAACTGGTACAATTCTCTATATTTGCTTAACGCTAAAGACTTGAGTAATTTCTGCGCACTTAGGGACAGTCCGGGTCACGGTAATGCGCTAAATCGTGGAAGCGGCTCACCACTGTGATTGAAAATGAGCGAAGGATTTACAATATGGAAGATTGGTAGGTGAGCGAATGTGCTGAAGGGGATACAAAGCAAACAAACAAACTGCCCATAAACAACGACAATTATGGAGATTTAGATTGTAAAGGTTGTAAACGGTGTGTAGAGAATGTAAGTAGTAACAATTACAGATTGTATTGTGGATCTGTTTATCTTATGTCCACAGTGTTTAATGTCAGTGTTAATAATAGCGTTAATATTTAATGTCTCTACAATTTTTATCTTTAAATGTGATGTCCATAGCATCAATGAAATGCAATGATACTAAAAGTAGAGTTTTACAAACAATAGTCCTCAGGACGCCGACTATAAAATTTTCCCAGAATTCACCCAAAGAAGTCTTTTTGTGTTTTTCTATCTTACTTCCTTGGACTTTTGGATGGCCCGTCTTCACTGGTTGTGCGGACCCCAGCATAATTTCCATTGTTTCGGAGTTTTGCTGGTTTACCCATTGTAGTTCCCTGGAATCCCGAGGTTAGCCTAGCCATAGTCCGCTCCAGATCGTCACCACCGCAGGCAGTCGTCGCCGTTGTGGGTCAAAGGGAGATTTGCCATCATGCAACTAGTTTGATACCAGGACGGTGGCAGATCCTGGTATTGGTTTATTCTTAACTGAGTTTCCTGGTGGAAACGCCGGACTTCTCTTGGGAGGCGCTTCCGGGAGTATGAATCCCCCGCTGTATGTCGCAACCCAGCACCTAGGAACACCTCATAGCCACGATGAGGCGGCAAACCGTTGGGAAGGATTCCCTGTTTTGTCGTGTGAGATGGACCGCATTCATTCTACGCAATCATGTGGCGCTCTGTGTGGACGATGTGTGTATCGGTATTCCAGTGAGTTTTGTTTGTTATGGAATGTAATAGCATTTTACAAATAACAGTAAAACACATTGACATCATTCTACAAATAAAAACAAAAAGTGAAGATGCGTTGCACATAGTAGGGACCGGATGAAATTTCAATTTTCCTCACTCAAAGATGAGGGATAAAGTAGAATACCACACTGTGATAAACTTCGAATTCAAATGAGAAACACATAATCTGAAGAAGAAACTAAGAGATGTTAACTACTTAAATGACGTAGCACAGCATGTCGCAGACCTGACACTATAGTGTCTTCTCCAATACTTCTTCGGAGGTCGTCTTTATTAACTTCCTTCTCGAGATTTGGTAGCAAAGAACCACCGATCTTGCTCAGAAACTGAGACCATCTATGAGGACACGTCTCTCTCATATAACCAACTCCACTCTGAAAAGTATAAGCGATGTTTTTCATACAGTTGTTTTAATGTCAAAACAAGTACCCCAACGATTTCTGAAAGCATCATAGCTGTTGCGAGGACTCTCGGCTTTTCATCGGTCAAAAAATATACCATCCTCCATAGCGCCTCCGAAGTGAAACGTTTGACTTCACTGAGTTTTGATCCTAAATCCATGGGATGGAACTGTCTTAGAGCCAAAGTATTTCGTAAGAACTAACTGATAAGACGAATACTAGTGCACCCACCTATAAAGTGGAGGTAAAAGAATAATTTGATGATGATTGTCTCAGGAATAAGGGCAAATCTCCTATCTTCAATAGATGTTAGGTGTACTGCGAATAAAGTGCTACAATAATAACCACGATCCTAATGAGAACTTCAGCATTAAATCTCTAATAACCATTGAGTGGGCAAATCCAAAAAGGTATTTAACAAGTCATAAATCATATATACTTTCTTTCATATGCAAGAAATGCCGTAGATATATAAAGATGTCAAGCTATGTTATAAATAAACCATTTCTCATTTTATATCGCATTACCATACCGTAAGGACGTGTGTGGCACCCCGCAACAAACACATGGGATCAGTCCCTGCGCCCCAGGCTCATCAAGTCCTCCATCCCTCCGGGGTCGGTAAATTGGAACCAGACTTGTCTGGGAGGATAGCAGCATTGGTCCGGTACATCGGTAGGCTATTACGAGTCATTGTAACGGCCTGATATGCATTCAATCACCTCCGACGATACTTAATGAAGTCCAGTGCATGGCGCATGCCTCAGGGATTGATCAACGCCGAGAGCTTTTCTAGAGCTTTTACCATATCGATGAACATTTGATCAATTCAGTTTAAAACTGACGCAACTTCACATATTTTGCACGTATTCTGATCAAATATTTCATCGAGTCTAGCGAGACATAGGTATAGCAGCACATCTCGATTTCCATCGAGTTTTATGAATATTGAAGTTGCCAAAAGAAACCACGTTTAGCTTCGACCTATACATTTGTCATAGTTCATCCTTACCTAAAGTCTAATTCTGTGGTTTCAGTCGACCCCACTGAGTTCCAAACCATGGAAAATATTATAGAAAAGAGATATTTTAACATTGTGTCCGTGAATAGAAAGAACCAGGGGAAGTCAAGTGCCATTCACTAATAGATAACACGCGGACTTCATATGTATCTAAGGTCACTGCCTAACGTCCACCTAACTGCTAAAATTTCCTCACAGGAATTTACCCAGTAGAAGCATTATTATGGGATCCCACGTGCAATAATTATTTAGACAGGCCGCTGAATATGCGCTGTTTCCTTTTATTTCTTAATTGACAGGCTAACTAAGTGTAGACCGTTCATGCAACAGCTATCTGCTGAGAAGTGGTTCTGAAGCCCTCATCTCACAATGCATACCACTGCACTATAGATATGGGTGATGCGGTGATGAGATATGAGATGCTATTCCATACATTCGAGGCTCTGGTTCGATCACGCCTCAGGCCAAAGAGATCTTCTATCCTCCTAATAAATATAAAAAATACAGCTAAAAACCTCTTTACCTAAACAACCGTTGGAAAATGAATTGGTATCAACTCACGTCGGTTAACCTCCATTCCACTTCCCCTGTAGGGCTCTGCATTTGCTTTCAACGCATATGTTTAGAATATGATTACATGAAGTTAATTTGCCGCACGACTCCTTTTAGGAATAGTCATGTGATATCTTGACCCAGTACAGATCTTGAAATTAACTTAACCTAGGTACATGTCTTTTGTTCCAAACTCCGTTATAAGGAGAGCCATTCAAAGCAATGTAGAAGAAACACACTGTAATTGATTTCTCATTCACAACGCTATCCAGGGCAACTTACTTTGCCTCCTTCAAGAATTTTTTCTTATTGACTTCACTCGAAAACAACGACTGAGGCAATACTATAGTCAAGTATTTTATTCCATTCTTCTTTTGCAAAAAAGAACTCTTTGTTAACTCACCACTTCTCTTCGTTTAGTGTTAACAGATGAGAGGCACTTAAAAGCTTCCCTAGTAGTACTGACTCAAAATTTGGCACCGTACAAGAGATCATTACAAGGATTCGACTTATTATAACAGCTAGTGATGGATCACGTTCAACAACACCCTGAAATACAGGATACCTGATAATCATGGCCTTGAGAAATTCCAATGCATGAGATTATACCGTGTAAGATTCTATCGTCACGATCATTCCATACCAAACTAGGTCACTATCAGTAAGTTGAATGACTTTGTTGCCGTACCTTAAGTAAAGAAAAAAAGAAAACCATCAAATTGACCGGGGTTGAAGAAACAATTACCCTGCCACCGGCTGTCCAGTGAGAAGTTTGCACAAAAATCCAGAAACCGCATAAATTTCTTGTGTAGAAGCTGTCTTTTTCGACTCAACAGTCACTTTCTCAACTACAGTTCGTTTTGTCAAAATCCGTAAGGCTTTCTGGAATTCACTGACAGTTCACATGAATCTCAAAAGCGTTAAAAGTTCCTGTAGCATTGATCTATTCTACAGTAAATACTGCACTGGTGGTACATGACAAGTGTACACAAGCACTTTAGCATACGGACAGTGGTCGATTCTCTATGAGAGAATGAAAACCTGAGAGAATTATAGAACAGACATTGTCCTACAACTACCAACAGTATGAACAATTTCCCTAAAATGATATTCTATTCTCAACAAACAGCATTCGACCCATTATTCTGCCTAGCTACCATATGGGGTACGCCTTACTTTATATCGGTTTGCAGACTTGGTACAACTCGCACACCGTTCAAAGGCATAGGTATTAGCCGATGATACTGGTCTTTCTACGAAGACCATAATTTTTCGATAATTATAAAACTTCAGGATTTCCGAACACGAAAGAGTTTCAAAACGTACTTTGTCATACCGCTCTAAGAGTATACATGTTACTATTTATCATAAAAGGATAAAGGATAAAGCTCTTGGCGTTGATCAATCCCTGAGGGATGCGCCATGCATTCGACTTTGTTAAGCATCCTTAAAGGTGATTGAACGCATATCAGGTCTTCACAATGAATCGCGGTGGCCAACCGATGTATCGAGCCAGTGCTGCTATCCTCTCAAACAAGTCTGGTACCAATTTGCCGACTCCGGAGAGATGGAGAATGCTTGATGAACCTGGAGCGTGGGGATCGATCTCATCTTTATTGCACGGCACTGCCGACCACTAAGCCACACATATCTCCACAGCTATTTACTATACGTTGGTAAAATGCGAAAAAAGCTAATACTTTGCAAAACAAGCCACTTGGTAGGGATATGCAATGGCATTAATGTCTTTCGTCCACTTTATCAACCTCCTTCCCCGCTCACGCATCGCACCTAATAACGTGTCTCGGGCGTTGTGTGGTAGGTTTATACCGAACTAAACTAAGTGAGAACAATTCTTTATATTCCTGTTGAGCAAATGTAAGGTATTATTTTATTTCTTTATTTACGAACTGCGGACATTTCGGCGGATTTCGCCTTCCTTAGAGCCTCGAAAGGTCAAGTTCACTGCAGTCTACCCAGCTAAACATATCTTATTTTATAAACTAAAATATCACCTAACAAATGCAAAATAACATACTTCCGCGCTATATGATTCCTATTAAGATCATCGTTGCCCCATGCGATAGCCCTCGACAGCCCTCTTTTCATTATAAATGTGTCGCTAATAATTTGGAGGAATAGTGAGGTTATAATCCTACTAACATCTGATAAAGCAGAAGAATCTAATCAAGAACGATTGTACAGTTCACGACGACAAACTGACAATACTGTTTATTAAAAAAAAAATGAAATAACCATACCTGCTCCTTACTTTTCTCTATGCGCTTTTTTGCTTCGTCATATTTTTCCGCGAGTCTTATATCTACCGCATAACAATCCTCCAGGGAATTGGTCAGTCCAGTAGTTGTGTCATGTTCGCTCAATTTCCTCTCCGGAGTCAAATGAGCGCTATTATTAGGTCTATGTTCCTCACGCTTCTGAATCTGCGCTGTAACGGTAAATTTCCTGAAAAGCCCTTGATAAATCAAGAAGGCAACTATTAAAACGAAAATGTTGAGCTTTTCACTAGACAAAATTTACTTGGTATAAGGTGTCGATGTTGTTGTGCCAACTCCAAACGAGGGTCGTGATCCGTTATAGTCGGTCAAGTGAGGGAATTCCTTCAATGGCTCAGGAATGATGGCCGGCAGTGTCGGAGTGCCAAGGAAGGCAAAGCTCTCATTGCTTGTACCCGACGATGCTGGCAATGATTTTGCACGAATCAACGGAGTGTTTACGAAAGGCTTTGAAAGAGACGTTGAGAAGTTTCCTTGCTGCAAAAGTCTGCAAAATCTCTGATTATGAGTAATTATTATGAGCGAGAAATTATGTCTAGCTATCTTAGGTATTGCAAAGAAGGAACGACTTATTTTCCTTAAAGGAAGTACTTCTTAAAATTAAAAATTTCGCGATTTAATAATAGAAATTTACGCTAGAAAATAAAACAACGCAGAGCGCGGAAACAAGAGAAAGCAAGACGGTTCCACATGACTCTTCCTCACTGAAAAGATCAGAAATTGTAAGTGAAAATGACGAAATACTACCTCGACATGCCATTAGCTGGTTCAATAACCTCCTTAGGTGCGCTTTCCTCTGATTCGGTTGAAGCCTTTCTGAGATAGTACTCCGCAATTTTCTCATGTGTTTGAGTATTACTTTTGAACGGCGACTGGGTTCTCTGAACGATAAATTTTATAGAAACCTAATTATAGAAATTTAACACTAAACAGTTGCCACACCGTAACTTCGGCTTCAAGTTTTGTTTGATATTGTGTAGCCAAGATGTACTGAAACTCAGAATACTTAAATGAGCTGAGCCACCAAATATCTTCATGCATCGTGCGGGTTTCAGCACCTCTTGAATGTTTGTCGGGTCTTGCAAGCGTCACTCAGCCGACCACTCGAGAACAATGCAACAAGTCTGGGTGAAGTACGGCGGATACTTCCGTTATCAAATCCAAACTTTATTTTTTATTAACTGAATTTTTCATGGACTCCGGACCACAGGTGTCCGCGGTGGGCATCGAGTCCGCTATTACCCTTTCCGGGGGCTAATGTGTTCACCACCACTCCATGTGGGTCCTTCGTTTCGCCTTTCTCAGCCACGTCTTAACCTATAGGTGTTATCAGCACTCACCCATACACGGGCTTGATCTGGGAAGCACAAAACGGCAGTGTACCCAGTAACGCTGAAGCTATAGTACAAATCACAATAAAATACCTTCTTACTTTTTATTTGTTACTTATTCTTCTTTCACGGCAGGGTAGTGCGATAAGCATTATATTGTGATTTATACTACAGGTACAGCTTAACTGGGTTCAATGCCGATTTCTGCTCCCCAGACCAATCCCGTTGACAGATGGTTGCTGATACCACCTATAGGTTAAAACACGACTGAGAGATAGGCGAAACAAAGGACCCGTATTGCGTGGTGGTCAACACGTTAATCCCTAGAAAGTGTAATAGCGGGTTCGATCCCCACCGCAGAAACCTGCAGTCTGGAGTTGTGCAAATGCCTCAACATTATTGTGGTTAAATTCCAAATTTTACTGCTTAGGTGGGTTTAAATATTCGATGTTCGATGTCGATCATGGCCCAAATCCTTTCTAATTGCTATCTCTACCCCATCATCGACGAAGTTGATTAAATTCATGCGAGTTCGGAACCGACTCGTGAATTTTTATCTTCACCATTGACGAATCGAGTTCTGGTTGACTGTGGTGTCTTCTATTAACCCGAAAAAGTCGTACTCGAGCGCCTTCAATTATTATTAGGTTATTCGGAAAATAATGCACGATCTTTAATTTTACTTTCCTTTTACATGTTTTACCAAAACTTTCCCCAGAATACCGTACTATTACACATCGACGCAAAGCGTATTTTACGCATTTTAATTCTGTACAACTAAATTGCAATATAAACCATTCCTTTGAAAAATTTAAAGGTTAGAATTTAAGGAATTTAAAACATGGATTTCGAGAAATCTGCTTCCACGAATTCAAAACTGGAAGTGGTGCAGCGCAAATGGCACGAAACATTAATGAGGCATGTAGCCAGGGAACGGTTAAAGAATATACATTGCAATGTTAGCCCCAAAATTACGCCATGCAGACACTGCAAAGTCTGAGAGAACTCAGTTATGAAGCTCTTGTTGGCGAAAATGTGTAGATTCCCGCAGCCCTCGTTTCGATTAGTAAGGTTTATTCTGAGCTGAGATATGTCAATCGTAAGATCGAGAGTTCAAATTGTTAATCAATTTTCGAACAGCCCAACAATTCCAGGCAACTGCCTTGTGCTTTCTATTACGGATCAGACGAAGGTTTAGTGCATTACAGCTAGGATCGTATCAAGACGGTAGCGATTCTTGGGACTAGTCAGGCTTACTACTCAATAATGATGTATTTAGTAGCGCAATCCATCTTAGTACACATTCCACAAGAAAAAAACCTGCAAGTCTACTAGAACTTGTTTTTGAGTTCTTTCCTCTCAAGACGTCTTACTCGATGTTCCCGGATATCGATTTGCAATCTACACCTTGTAGTCATATTCATAACGAGGTCAACCATGCTGACGAGTTCGCGTCTTTCACACCAAAGATCAAGTAAGAATGAACCTAGGTCAGAATTCGCCAATGCGCTGGAAGAAGCCTAATCACAAAGTGAAACACTTCTCTCGGATTCATATGGGCCTATAAATGCTTATGCTTCAGGATGTCTGAGATGAGTTCTCCATAAGTTCTGGAGAAAAACCAATCTAGCAGTAATCTTTTAAACGGATGGTATGTTGCAGACCACATTCTTTTCCTTTTGAAGACAGATCTAAGTATTCAAAAAGCAACGTACTATCCTTTGATGCTTTCAAACGTCTAACATCCACTCACCGTTACTTGGGATGAGAAATCCACTTTTACCGCTTTATTAAGGGTTCTGTATGGAGATATCGATTCGTCAATTGCACAACTTTGTAGATCGCGCAGTGTCCTCGAAAGCAATGTGTGAACTGCAGTGGATCTAAAACCTGCGAATTCATTACTGATGGTATAAACCTACCTCCTATCAATCACTGGGTGAATTGTAAACCAATACGAACACACAGGTTAGTTGCTCACCGAACAAATCGCATATGCCCTACAACTTCACTCCCTCATCCTAGCTAAAAACTGTTGATAACGTCGAAGTGCGACATTCTGTCAGGACTCCATCGCACAACTTGATCGCCCATAGTTAGGGATTTGGAATTTCCTTTAAGAAGCCCTGCTAAACATTCACTGATGTCAGAAAATACCGCCTTGTAAGCAACCTGGCAAAATCTACAATTGGTGGCATCCGATTGTGGTAGTGACTTGGAAATACCGATATATTAAAAACTACAGCTTTTCGACAGACGCGATTTCGAAGCAATCGAGCGCGTGTAGTGCAGTGGTCGGAGGTATCTTGGAATGCACATGGGAATGACCCCCTCCGAAGGACCGCCAAGACCTGTCTGGGGCGATAGCAGCACTGGCTCGATCCATCGTTAGGTCACGGCGAATCATTGCAAAGGCCAGATATGCCATTTCCAGCCTATTATGCGACTTCTCGTGACCCTTTGATGTATCGAATTAGTGCTGGTATCGCCCGGAAGAATTTTCATCTACAGGGAGCCTTAGCTAATCTTGAAAATACTTGCGTACTTGGATGACCCGCTCTAACTGATTGTGCGAGTGCGAGCCCCAGTATAATCTCCATTTTTTCGGAGTTTTGCTGGTTTAGTCACTGTGGTTCCCTGGAGTCCCGAAGGCAGCCATGCCAAAGTCTGCCCCAGTTCGTCGTCACCATGAGCATTCGCCGTCCCGGTGGATCAGTGGGAGATTTGCCACTATGCAATTAGTCTGATACCAGGACGGCGGTGGATCCTGATATTGGTTTACTCTCAGCTGGGCTTCCTGATGGAAACCCTTGACTCCTTCTCAGCTTGGGTGACCCTGTTTGGGGGAGAAACTACTCGCTGCACATCGCACTTCCACACCCAGGAACACCTCTAGTTATGATTATGACGTAAACCGTTGGTAGGAATCTTGTAAATCAACTTGTCGAAAATAATTACTGGTCTGAAGGATGTGTTAAAATGTCTATTGATCTTCTGCCAACATAGTACTAGCTGAGAGACAGGCAAAACGAAGGATCCGGATGGTGTGGCGGTGAAGTGCGCTACTCCCCGAAAGGTCAATAGCGCGCGTTCGTTCCCCACCGCATACACCTGCAGTCCGGAGTTTTTAAATTATCTCAGCATTATACACGAGTTATATTTCGCAACATACCCTGCCATTGAAAAGAAAAAGGAAGTAAATAGAAGGGTTAAGATTGTAACAAACTTTGCCAACAGACTCGCCTAATGTTTTCAAATGGTAGAAGTGTCCGGAACGACAGTCTCTTGAACAGCAGATCGCTATGACCACCGTAGCGTCCATCGCTTTCACAATCCTCGTTGGATATGCCAAAACTGAATTCCAAAGTTCTTTTTTTCTCTTCTTTTTTAACGAAAACGGAGTTGCCGGAACTGAAAAGACGTTCGTTGGTTTCACCTACGTCGGCATTCTTGAAAGACGAAACGGCTGGATCACGACGGAGAAACGGTCTAGAAGTTCTTAATGGAACCAGAAGCTAAGCCAGCAAGATACCAAACACATTTACTGCTGATTACTTCTTGCGCTCCAATCGGGAATTCTGGACAGAAACCAGTCCAGATAGAACAGCGGGAAGGATGGCTAGCTGGAGCAATTCTGGCCAGCTTTCACACTCTCGTTTCGTTTAAAAAGCAAAAGTAATCGGTTATGTGTACATACGACTGAAGAAGAGAACGAAGTTCATAAAGTTCTGGTGGACTGCGTCTAAAGAAGATATCTCTGGATGCTGAAATTGCTTTGAGCTATGGTTCACAGCTCCATTAGGTAGCATCCGAACCATAGTGATAGCAGTGCAGGTGACAGTAATTCCTTACGCAGTCAATCCTTTCATGGAGTGGAACACCTGAAAGCATTTCAACAGCTGAAGTCCACTGGAGGACAAATGTTCATTGACTGCAAAGCTGGTGTACTCTGTAGTGCTCCAATGTTATTTCCGCGAACGCCGGGCAACCTGTGGAATATCCTTCGTTTGCGAGCACCGCCCGGATTTACGGTTCGCCTTTCGATTATTTTAGGCTTAGGCGTGTTCATTACGTCGTATTTATATAGCTTAGGCTTAGCTTTATGAATTTGATTTATCTGTTAAGGCATCGAAAGAACCACTTACGATAAATAGCTCCAACTCACCGTCATCACTCGCTTCCTGAAAATGGTACGAAAATCGCCTAAATCGAAGAAACAGGGAACGTCTGGTACGTGCAAGCGTTGCCTGCAATTGTAAGGCTTAGATTATAAAACTCTCGGCGTTGATCAATCCCTGAGGGATGCGCCATACATTCGACTTCACTAAGCATCGTTAGACATGATTGAATGTATATGTGGCCTTTACAATGACTCACGGTGGTCTACCGATGTGTCTAGCCAGTGCTGCTATCCTCCCACAAGGGTCTGGTACCAATTTGCCGGCACTGGAGGGATGGAAGGCTTGATGGGCATGGGGCGCAAGGATCGATCGCATGTTTATTGCAGAGGACCTCCGACCACCGCGCTGCTGCACGCGCCATTAGATCTTTTTATCTTCTTAAATTTTCAGATTTTCATGTATTAGTAACAATTCACTTTTAAGCCAAACCGAATGAGGCAGGCTTTGACGAAGCAGTGCTTGGTGGAAGTTCCCCAGAAAGAGCAGATTCTGATGAGGTTTTGTCTTGGATTTTTTCACCTTTTGGTTATAGTTTTCATAATGGGCTTGCTACACTTTGTCATGTATTAGTTTTTAAACCCACGTTTGAGGTGCCTGTGTTTTTCAGGATTTCGAAGATCCAGACTTGTCAGGTAGCAGTCCATTTAACCACGATATAAATCCGGATGATGACAGTATGGGAGAGGAGAACAGTAGTGGTGCACCTGGGACCTCGCATGTGGAAGAATCTCTATTTTCTACGGTATTCACGTAAATCTCCGTTTATCTAGTTTTCTTCACACTTTTGTTTCTTCTTTGAATGTGGACTTTTTTCATCGAGTTCGAAATTTTTTTTGGGCATCTTTCCTGTACCCATAATTCATTTATAGTGGGCTAGAGAACTTGTCAAGTGAACTACGAATCGGCATGGTGGTGAAAACCATCAGAATTTGCAGGCAACAGAAAACAGTTCACAGAAGAAGAAGAAGAAAACGTCTAGTAAGAAACGAGCCTTATCGCCACTATTGGATCTGCTCGATGTGGTAAATACCACAACAGCAAAGACGAACTTCGGCATCAATGGAGGTAATACGTTCAAAGTGGATTTTCTTATTTCTCCATGTATATTGTAGTTCGCAGTCTGTCTGTCAATCTGTCTATTCAACAGTGCTTCAAGTAGAAGCCAACCTTCGATCAGACCACACTGACCCCTTTAAAGCGTACTTTTTTAGCACTAGTTAATTCCAAAATCTTTGCAAACGCTTTCTTATCATAGGGCCCTAGTCAGCTTAGCCCACTTTTCAATGTACTTGATTTATTTGAGGTGGCCGTTGCACTACCAGATGTAGAGTTATTTAAGGAACAGCATATTTATCATATAACGAGAGTACGTGGAGCCCATTATTTTTATATCGGTTACCTGCGGACATTGCATTGTCTACCATTCGTGATCACGGGACGGAAGGAATAGGACGTGTTGAGGTTTCTAGCATTAATTCTGCATTTGTTGGGCTAAAACAAGACTGGTTTTTGAGATTGGATGGAAAATGGGCCTGGATACTTCCGCTAAAGCTGGAAATCGACGTGTTTCATCGTATATCCTCACTGCTTGTAATGAGCATCCCCAGCACATCGGACAGTTCCAAAAAATGGAGGGCAAAATTAGGTGTATCAAGTGAGTCGTCCGCGATATTCATTATAGTAAGTGACTTCTAACACATAACAGCTTGAACTGAACTTTTTTCTCAGGTATTTTTGGAAAGCGGATAAAGAGCCAGAACAGTTCAAGAAGTTGTTCGATGACTTCGAGAAATTTGCAGGAAGACCTTGTCCTTTCAAACTCGGACAAGTGATAAAATTTCCGAATTGTAATCTTAGTAAGTGCTAGTGCATGTGTTTTGTTCATTCTTGTTTTTGAAATACCATTCTTCCACTAAGGCAACATTCGAGAAGTAGGAAATTTAAGATGCGTCGCATTTCTATTCTCTTATTTTGCTTCTTTGACTTCCTTTCACCGTGTTTTTCTTGCCCTCTTTTCTGCGTGCCATTCCATCTTATTAGTGGTTCTTCAGAATAGAAATGACAGGGAAACTACTAACTTCTATTACCTTAGGTACATTGCGAATATCGGACGTTACACTTCGGCGCTTAAATGACATATTGGAATTGGTTGCCAACAAGCGGGTCATTGTCACGATTCATAAGATAACAAGATTCATAAGCAAGAGGGAGCAATCCTACGGATATGATTTCACGGTGGAGTTTATAAACGGAGACTTCGTTTTGCTAGAAATATTTATCAAAGTTTGTCGTTGTTTATTACGGTTAATAGGATGTGAATATTTCAGATTGATAAGAAGTCGTTGTTGAAATGCCTGAAAGCGTTGGAAAGTGCACGTCTGCTTACCGTCTTCGAAACCAATGTTGCGGCAGAAAGTGTTGAGACCAAGGTTTTTCATATATACATTCGTTCCAATTTGTTATGTTGCGGGGTTTTTGCACCGAATTAGTTATTTCATTAAAAACTGGGGCAAGTATAAATTTCTCGCTCAATGTCTTTGACGAAGAAGGAAGGTTTGTTGCACTATGTTCGAGAATACGAAAATATACGAGGTAAAATATATTCCTCTGTACGAAGAAGAATATCAAGAAAATTTTGTGCGTTCAATAGCTTTTACCTTGTTCAGGTCCAAATTGTGTGCCATCCCGAAATATTTTCTGCTGACCATCCAGAAGTTTTGCATGCAGTACAAGCAACCATTGACGAATACCATCAAGAAGGCCGCGTGTTTCCTCATGGGCAGCTGCGGCATGTTTTTGTCCTGGTTCGTTCATTTCTGTTTTAGTGGGTGTATTGTTTCATTTTAGGTTTTCCATAAAAAGGAGGGCCGAAATGGAGGGGAAACCGGCACTTCTAGATCCAATTGAGAATATTGAGAAAGAATGCACCAGTGGTATAGACTTGTCACGACGATATAATTTACTTCGATTTCAGGTTTGCATATCTTCCTCTAGTGTCGAATGACGTGAAATTCTCGTTTTCCTTCAGATATCTCGTTCGGCTGTGACCCCACTAAAAAAACCTGAGAATTCTGAAACTTCTGACAAAGACGATCTTACCTGGACGAAAAAGAACTGTGATGGAGATGTTACAGCGCCTTCTAACGAAGATAATAAATCTGACGAACCAGGAATATCGTCCCCAGTGAGCCGCATAAATGAAAAGGTTGTAACTGCATAAGGACATTGTTACCTCTCATTGATTTGTCCGGTTTGAAACCTACTTACATCTTCTTTAGATATCCGATTTCAATGAGGCTGTTCTTTCAACGTCACCTGTTGGTCAGTCCACTTTTTTACTACTTCAGTCCACTGTTTCATAGTTACTCATCCACGTGCATGTTTTGTTATAGATTCTAATTCTAAGACTGGAGCAGATACTGAACCAGTCACTGAGTTTGGGTACCAGTCAAAGGCAATTCGATGTTTTGTGGTACATGAAATCGCCTTTCAGTTGGTATTTGGGCATCCAGAAGGTACCAAACCCAACTGTTACGACCTGTGAGCTAACTTCCGAACTTTCTGATTTTACACCTCGTTTCTGCAGTAAATGTTCTTAAAATTTGATCTCATTACGGTCATTTTTTTTCAAAACTATTTTTTATCTTTAAGAACGACTTCATGCTTTCCGAGTTCAATATTTGGAAATTCATAAGCTATCAGAGAGTGGGAATAGTATAGAAATATAATAAATAGAAATGTTGAATATAATATAGAAATAGAATGTAACTATAGCATAGGAAAGTATTATAGGAATATTAAATAGTTGGAAGGGCAGTTGGATTGTGAACTGAGTAAATGAAGATGTTGTCTTCAGTTTTCCACCGGGTGAAAGTTTCTCTTCATGGGCAATTCGTGATGTTGACAAGTTGACTGTTTTTGTGGACGAAGAGTCACCGCTGCGTTTTCTTCCTCATCTTCCTCCATTCACTGATGTGCAAAGGTTTGAACGATTAGTGTTAAATACTTGGTTTTCTGAGCAGTTTAATTTCAGGGGTTGGTTTATGGTGCAGGATTTCTTAGCTGCTCTGCCTCTTTCGGCTTTTGTTCTAGTTGCTCATGTCAGCAAAAAAATTGATGTGAGGGTCTCTATTGTATCATCTGGTACCCATTATTACTTTTATTTAACTTCACATTTATGTGTACATTTTAAGAAGAATATGCTACAGTCGTATCTTAGTGATCCAATCAAGCGACACATTTGCATAGGGTCCCTGCCTAACGAGATTAGAATGCCCATTCTGAAGGTGAGCATTGGTTACCTTGGTTTGCACTTCATTACACAGATGTATGCGATTTTCTTTCTTGCATGTGGATTTCCTCGTTTTACACGTACCATTTAATAGGACAAGAAGGTGGTTCGCCAACTAGAACATATCATGTTAACAAATTGTGCGTTAGGCTTGATGGCGATAGCTCCTAATCCAGATGTTAAACGTTTTTCATCTCCTCGTGCTTCAGTGTTCTACGTAAGCAGGAAGTATGCCTTTTTATCAGTTATCTGTCTAGTTTTTGCCAATATGCAAAGTTTGTTCTAACATCTATTTAAAGGGCTGTATTATACGACACAAGTACGAGCGGAAAAGGTTATGCTTCTGTGACACTTCCTCTCTCTAGTTATGACAAATACAACTATGAGTTTAATGCTGTTGTGAGTTTAACTTTTTTGATTTGTGTGATAAATACACGTGTGAGTTTAATACTGTTGCGGGTTTTACTTGTGCGATCTCACTTCAAACAAGCGGGAAAAGTACCGCACATGGGATAAATCCTATGCGTCTCATACGTCTCAAACAACATTGCTTTGAGATAAGTTATCAAATCATTCGAGATATTCCAACCCATGAAATGCAAAGTCATACATTGAGTACTAATGTGTGAGCAATCAGAACAACTGTTTGGTCATCCTGTGATACATATATGTTTGATTCTCCCTGCAGAATTGCCATAAATTCTGTGTACTGGTGGCTCCATGATTTCAGCGGAAATGGATGCTGGTTACCCTTGAGCGGGCATACGAATATACATGATTTCTAATTAGGAGAAGAGTAGTTTTTAATAGTGGGAAATCTTAGGGTTGTGTTAACCGTTAGATACCATTTCGGCGTGGATAGAATGATAAACACTGGTAAATTGGAGAGGATAGCCATCCGATTCGAACGTCATTTGTTTAGGGTGAGCAACAATTTTTTTTTTTGCCCAAATGCCACGCATCTACAATGACGGTGGTAAAATGATAAGTTTTATCGAGTTCAGAGAGAAAAAAATTAATGAGGAAATCACATATTCGATAAAGATGATCGGTGATTAGTTGTTAGAACAACTCCATGTGGTTAATAGTGAGCAGAATAAAACGTGAGAAAAGCGACGGTTTAAGTTTGTTGTCTCTGAAGAACGCGTTCATGGTAAACCGTTATCGTCCATCCGGAGTAGAGAAATTAGTACCAGAATTGTTTAGGAGAATATCAATACTAACTTTGTACATCGGTAATCCACTGTAAGTTATGGTATAGGTCAGGTATTCATTGAGTCCGAACAGTGCTTGTTGAAGTCAACTGCATGGCGCTTTTCTTAGCGCAGAGAAATTTACCTTTCGTTGTCGTTGCTTTCCGCATCCTTTAGAACTTCACAACCGCTTTCAACTACACGTTTCTTCCTCTTCGCACATCAAAAACAGGAACTTAACCTAAGCATGAGTAAGCATATTGCTAGTCAAATGTACTGATACTATTCTACAGTTTAAGAACAATTTAATAATGCCAGTATATACCTCATGGTAAGGCGCGTGTGGTGCAGTGGTCGGAGGCGCTCTGCAACACACACGTGCAATCGATCTTCGCGCCCATGGTCTACCAAGCCTTCCATACCTCTGGGGTTGGCAAATTGGGACCAAACTTGTATGGGAGGATAGTAAAACTTGCTCGGTATTACGCTAGGCCACTGCAAGTCATTGTAAAAGCCAAATATGCATTCAATCACCTCCAAACGATGTTTAATGAAGTCGAATGCATGGCGCATCCCTCAGGGATTGATCAAAGCCGACAGCTTTACCCTTTTATCTTTTACCTCATGGTAAGTTTCACACGGGCTCCGGCTACGCATTTATTCAAACAGTGAAAGAGTGGTAACGTACACTTTGTTTGTCGGGTGAAGTGAAACTGTAGGTTGACCTCAGACAGCGTTGACAGCTATAGCGTTGGCTGGATCACCAGCTGAGCTGAAGTAATGCAAGAATTGGTGATAATTATGAAGTTCGTCAAAGTGCGACATTTCAGTCTCGTTGAATCGAAGAACACAGTAATAACAAACTTGCTGTTTACTTTATAAAGCTGTTTTAAATCCTATCACGTTCACAAATAGCCGCGTTAAAAAAGCAAATATCAAAAATGCAGTTATTCCAGGATGATCTAGTGCTTTATTGGCACCACTTACGTGCAATTGTGCAATCAACACCTCTTTCCTTTCGTAATGATGCGAATGCTGAGGAAATTAATTTAGCCCGCCATAAGAAGTATACCATGGGGCAGTTTGATAAGGTTCGTAAACATGAAGTCTAGTTCCACCAATCGAAATATAGTATCACTAGTACCTTATCTACTCTTCTTCAGTCTCTCGTAACAAGAGATCCGAGTGATAAAGTAGATCAAATTACTCCGCTCGGGCCACGTGAAGGTTGCGCTGGATTTGATTCAGCACTTTACATGCAAGTTTGCAAGTATTTGATACAACTAATTTTGACTTTTTAAAAATACCCATTTTATAGTCATCTAAGACGACACTGGGATATTGATCCTCGTCAAAACTCATGTGTTGGTTGGTATATCGCTCGATTTCGAAAGCAAGCCGACAAAATTCGATGGGTAGTTGAATCCAGGTTGTTCGTTAAATACTTGATCTAGTGAAGTTTTATTTGCTATTTAAAATGTTTATTTTGTATTTAAAACACTTCTTTTAGTAAAATCGTTTCTAGGATTTCTATAGCTAAACGTATTGTTAAACAATGGTTAACGAGCTGAGTGAGCCCGAGCAATGTCGTTAGTCATTCCTATTGCAAGTGAGAGTAATCCAGTCAACTGCCTCCATCCGGAAAACAATAGTGTCACACATTTTTTTTCGTGAAGCACGGTGAACGAACATGAGCTCGCCATGACATACAGTTGGTAGCAGAGAAGTCCATCCTCGTTTTACACACCGGAATCCCGTATGAGCAGCAACAACATCGGATTTGAAGTTTCTATCGACAAGATGGAAAATATAGCTGAAGGGCCGTATAACATTGTTGGTTACCTTTGAGCTGGGAGCCACGAACTGCTTGCAACCTATATTACGATTTACCTTCAAAAGGAACGCATCGCAGACCAACGTGGGAGGTTATCTTATCCAAAAAGAGTGATTAAGAGGTCTTTGTAACTACCACATGCTTTGCTTGTTAAGTTTTCTTTACAAACACATTATGAAGGTTGTTCTATCGTAAGTATCACCAGTTTTAGGTAAAACCCATCTAGCTAAATAGGATTCCTACGAGAATTCTGATTTTATGGACTACAACATCTAGACCGTATACAGAGTTATAGATATCTACCGGGAAAACAGCGTTCTACTTGTGTTAATGTTTCCGATCACGATAAAGCATTTGATAGCGTCTAGAAACGAAAGCAATTCTGCCAGGGCTTGTTGAGCAATTAGTGAAATAATTCTAACTCAATTCTGTCATAGCTGCACCCAATAATATAGCATCTACATAGTTTTCTTAGCAATGCTTTTCATGCGCATTGTTTCAGAGTAGCGAAATTAAAGAAGGACTGGAATAGTTACGTAGGAAGCCTTATGCCGAATGAGATAGAGCTCCAGAAGACGAAAAAAAAGATGCATGTGAGCCATCATGAAGTTTAACGTTCTTTGTTGCAACTGACGTCACTTTTTTAAAGGAGGACTCCACAGATGCTACTGTGTTCAGCACTACGAGGACAACCTTAGCAATTGATCCCGAAACCAAGAAGAAGCCACCATTTAAAAAACCGGTATTTTTCACGGGTCTTAGTTTCTTTGTTATACATTTCCATATTTGTTGCATTAAAGGTCTTGTACGTAGTGCATAGTAGTGTTTTTTGTTTGTTTCTGATGACAATCTACAAGATTTTATCTATTTTTAAGTACTTTTTTGTCAGCATGTTAAAAAGAAGCGCCCACTGGACAGTGTTGACATCATTAGTGAACAGAACAGACTCCATCTTCGTAGTCGATTCACTTCACGAGAGAGAGATATGGTAATGAAATAAACAACTTTTCAATAAATTTGCTTATTTCTAGAGAATTATTTCTTAAAATATTATTTACAGCGTACTATACAGGGCGTTGTTATGGTTTATCCTTTGATTTAGCTGATCATGATTCGTGCTGTTGGTTTCTTCCTAAATCCGGTATATCGGTTTTGGCTTGATCCTTCCGTCGTTAGGGATATAATGCATGAATATATGCCCGAATCCCGCTGTAAAACTGTTCAGGTACTCTAATAGCTGTATCTCAATTTATCACAAACTATTTCAATTACCCCATTAAGTGTCTGATGGCTGCAGCCGTACGAGAAATGGTTCGTCCAGCTCGGTTGGCCTATTTGCAAAGAATTGTTCGCAGTCTTTCAACTTTCCAGGTATTCAACCAGCATTGCTCGTTGTTTGGTTCTTCGTTCGCTTTCAGAAATACTTGTTTATTATTGTTTCAGGAGATGCGCGATCTGCGCTTCTTATTAGCATCATCTCCACTTTCAACAGCCGAGTCCAAGGCATCATTTTTCAAGAATGCTTTCGATGTTGCCAATCGTCTGCTGTTTATGTTTGTTCTTATTTAAATTTTGTAATTCGTCTAAGGAGCAGTTAGTGCTTTTTATTTTTTAGGGAGAGTCAGGTTCTTCCAGTAGCTGCGACTTCGGACAAACAGTTTGAAAGTTTTTTGAACTCTACTAGAGTGGGTTGGCTTACCGGCACTTTTCAAGCTGGTGTTTTTTTAAAAAAAAATTTTTTTGTACAAATGCATTACAGTTAGCCATATCAACAGAGCAATCTGTTGCTGCCCCAATACCTTTGCGTTCTCGAGTGCCTACTACGTTGGCGCATATCCACCACTGTGTTGCTGTAAATCTACTTTTGGTATGTTGATTTAGATGTACGTGAGATTCGAGAACCTCATCTTCAGAAATATGTAAGCATAGGATCATGTTTCATGAGTGGTGCGTCGTACACTTTTGTTGAAACAAACAAGCTAAGCTTAGTGATTAATGGTGTACAGTCTTCTGATTATTCTAAACAGAATTTGGTTATCAGTCCTATTGGTTACCTGTTTGTCCTTATGTTTTGTACGTTGTTATTTTTCTTAACTTTTAGTCTATCCTTATTCATTATACCGATGGAGCATTTTCTGAGTCAATACTCGACCAGATATCGGCTTCTGTGCTCTGCAATGCTTTACAGGTGAGTTAGCAAAAACCATTTATCATAAAACGTTTTCTCTTACTCACTTTCGAATACATGATTTGCCGTTTCAATTTCATCGTGTTCTAGTCGCTGGTCATGTTGACATTTCGCTGTTGTCTCCCATCTTGGATTATTCCACCTTCCACCGCTTTAACTAGCGTTGGCGTTCTGTCTCATGTCATATAAGTGGTGAAGGATGCTTAAATTACAATTACACACTTAATATGCTGCCATAGTTGGTTAGATTCATGTGGAAAGAGCACTTACTAAGCACTGTAAACATAAAAATATATGCGAACGTCCAATATGAATAAAGTGAAAGTTTAAGAAAATAAAGTGCACTCAAGAAAGCCAGACTTATTAAAGTGGATGTGGTTGTCAAATGTTTACTTATAGTTTACTTGTTCTTTGAGTTCTAAGAATGCAGTTTACATTCCAGGTGACTTGAATTCTTTTGTGGCTTAAACTTTTCTGAAAACAGTTTCCTTGCTTAACGGTACATCTTCATTTTAAGGTGCTCCGATCGGACGGACTGGTGTCTAGATCTCGCGTTCTTGATCAACAGCTAATGGTAATTACCAAAAATCAAGCCATACTATCATATTAGTGAGTTGTCATCTCATGGATTCATTGTACGGAAGCCATCAAATTATATCCAGTACTTGTATAGTCTATAATCTCATTAATCCTGCATTAACTTGAGCGGGCATCAATGAACTGAATATGAACGAATGCAAATCCGTCCATTTCGGTCCTCAGAGCCGCTGGGTCGATCTCGCTATTTCACGGAAAACAAGTAACATCATCATTTTGGATGATATCACTTCCTTATTTTAACTGAACACATATCTGCGTTTTCCAGTTCCAGTTTGTGGATCTTGGAGAGATGGAAGGGTTGACAAGCCCGTGCTGGGGACCGAACCGAAGACCAGATATGCGTTGCAGGAGACCTCAAACTACAGCGCTCCACGCGCTTTTATCTCTGTATTTCTCTCTCCGTATATATATATATATATATATGCATATATATACGTGTATATATACGTGTACATATATGAATATATATGTACGTATGTACACGTGTACGCATACGCATATACGTATATATACATACATATATATATATATATATATATATATATATACATTTGCATATATGAGGTGTCTATATTGCAGTGGTTAGAGACGCCCTGCAATACACATGCGATCGACCCCGCGTCCTAAGCCCACCAAGCCTTTTCTCCCTCTTGGGTTGGCAAATTGCTCGTAGACTTGTTTGGAAGGATAGCAGCACTGATTCGATACATCGATAGGCCACCTCGAGCCATTGGATAGGCCAGATATCCACTCAGTCACTTTTGACGATATTTAGTGAAATTGAATGCATGACGCATCCTTGAGGGATTGATCAACTCCGAGAGCTTTATTCTTCATACATGTATGTACATATATGTATATATATATGTATACATATGCAGATATAGACATGTATATGTGTACATATGTATATGCATATGCTCATATACGTACGTATTTTTAGAAGTGCGTGTAGCGCTGTGATTAGAGGTGCTCTACAGTGCAGATGTGGTCGTCAATTAGATCCTTGGCGCGGGTTCACGAAGTTCTCCATCCCTTCTGGGTCGGAAAATTAGTGCTAGACACACCTATGAGAATAGCACCGTTCACTTGATATAATGATAAGCCACCGCGAGTCATCGTATGGACTAGATATGCATTCATTCATCTTTAACGATCCTAAGTGAACACGAATGCATGACGCGCTCTGGGAGATTGGTCAACGCAGGAAACTTTTGAACTTTATGAACTGGTATATATATGTATATAAATGTATACTTATACAGAGTTGCTTTAGCTTTCGACATTTCTTCACCCATCGTTTCCATCCAGACATAGTGGAGCAGGCAGTGGTAACGTTTGATACTCTTGACGACTCTGTTGAAGGGATGGAAGAATTGCAAGGCGATCTTTGCGGTGTCTTGGTTGCTGCTGCCTCTGCTTTCTACAACAATGTGCGTGTTTCTTCTACTTGTTTGATATGCGATTGAATGCCTCATTTTAGACTGGCCTTGAAATATCTGTGGATGAGGAGGTGTTCACTATGTTTGAACAAGCTGTCATAGATCAGGCTACACAGTCGATCAAGCAAATTCGCTATCTGGAGAACACGAATTTACACTTGGAGCAAATTCATATTTTTGGAAGCAGCTCTTTTGAGCAGTCCGACTTTCCGTCTTGGCAGTCGATTCTACCCAAAATTGATTGGTAGCTAGCCTTCATCAAGTAAAGGCTATATTTTTGTCGCTATTGATGTGTTGTAGGTCTCAGCCGGCATCCGATTTTCCTCCACCTCCTTTCGAAGAGTTTTTGCTTGATGTTCCTGTAAACAGGAGAAAAGATCTACGATCTGTTTACAATCCTATTGTCTCTGCTGGTGAATATGGTGCCACGCTTTCCGATATACAGGTACTGCTGTTATAGTGTGCATTGCTTTTGTGAATTAGACGTCTTGTGTATTATAACTGTAATTTACATGAGTCTGTTCGAATATGATTTTGAGTGTTGGTTTAAGAATTCAGTAGTAACAGTGTATTACTTTCAGATATTAGTTGCTTTTGTGTCCTTGATTTTTTACTGCTAAATCCTCGCTCTCATATCGATTTTAGGTCGTAAAAAGTCGTCTTTTTGGTTTTTTAATTTTGCCCTTATTGATTTTGTTTATTTATAAATTACTAAGCGTTGTATGTTTTTCTTAGGACGCTACAAATATGAACCGCCAAGAAATCTTAGGCAATTTGAGATATCTCATGGAGAGTTGTCAGGTGCGTACTTGAGTTTTTTTTTCTCCTTTTTAACTACTCCGCATTCATTCGGAAGCTTACTTATTCTACAAAATCAGCTCATTTTCTAATGTCATGATAGTTCGTTTTGTGATACCTGTTCGGTTTTTTTTCTTTTTTCGTCTTAGTTCCATCATCATTCTAAGAGTCGTCCGACGAAGAACCAGTGTAGTGTTTTGCTTTTCGGGCAATTTTGTTGAGAAACGCAGTAAATGGTCAAAATGTCACCAAGTCTTAGTCGATCCATTTCTCAGGTTACGTCCGTTGGTGTAGATGTTCAACGCTGGGTGTCGGCGGATTCTGCTCTAGCTTGGTGCGTTAAAGTAGGAGGTCGAATGGTTTCTCCGCGTCCATGGACAATGCCATCAGGTTCGTGAATTAAACATCTTGTTTTTTATTTTTCACGAGATAGGGATTTATTGCGGTTTAGTTTAGTAACGCATTTGTATTAATTTGTTTTAGGAGAAATTTGCCCAGCAACTGTGCGCTGGATGGCGGAAAGTATATTAATGATGATCGTATCTTCTCCAGGCATTACACTGAAAGAAGTGTGCTTCCGATTCGAATTTGTTTTGCAACCCATAGCGGTTCAAGACTTGGTTAGTACTGAGCCGAAAAGCTAAAAACGCATAACCTTCAGGGTTAAATAGTCGTAGTTACACGCAGGAAAAGTATTCCGGTTGATTAATATGTTCCATTTTTTTCTAAGTATAGCTAACCTCTTAAAGTTTTTTCTTTGCTTTCTTTCCCATTTTATCGAAATAGTGTGATTTCTAGGTCATTGTATTAGAAGCGGCTGGATGTGTGAATTTAATAGAAGAAATTTTCGAAAATATAACCTTATCCTCCTTATTCCAAGGTGAGTACACGGCTTATAGAGACGTTTACTAGATTTCCTTTTTGAGCTGGTTGTCGTCCATTTTCGTAGAGAAATTTTCAGGTGAACGCTCAGAAGTCACAATCACCTACGTACTACCTGTCGTGGATTGTTTCGAGAAATTTTCGAGGATATTCGGAAGTGAGCTTGTGCCTGACATTTATAAATTAGGATGAAAGTTAGTCAGTGTGTCACCAAGCCTGTCATGCGATATTTCTCCGAACTTGGTTGATGTTTCGACAAATTCATCTTTTTTTTCTATTTTTTCATATTTGGTTATACTATGTCTAAGTCATCACTTCACTTCATAATATAGGCGGTTACTAACTTCTTCCTTTGAAGAAGTATGGGCTAATAATATCAGTTGCGGTAGTTTATGTCATTTACGCCCACATCAACAGCGACTATGATAGCGTTTTGACCACTGAGGTTCTGTATTAACCTGGAAGTTGGTGCTGCGGAAAATTGGATAGTCTATCGCAGTCATCGCAACAATTGTAAAACTTCATTGAGAATGACTGCACGTACAGAAAATTATCGGGACAAACGGATTCATGGAATTGTCAAGATGAGAATTAGCAGAAATGACAGTGTCAACATTAACCAGATTCCTTAGAGGATTAGGCTCTCAACAGCAAAGCTGCATCGCGTTGGATATGTCTCCTGGATTAGATGAAATTTTTGTAATTTATGTCGTTTACAATCCGCAAGTAGTTGGTCGGTTTATTATGCTGATGCCGAAGTAAGAGCAAAGGACAGGATTTTTCACGAGGTGAATGGGAACTGATGGGCTGGAAAGAGTCGCTTCGTGTGAAGAACCGTTCCGGTTTTCATCAATATGAACCAAATTATCAAAAGGGTAAGATCAGGAGAAATCTAATATGGCTTTTGAAAGAATCAAATGGTTTCCGTAGAGAGAACCATTTTTCAGGAAGAAATCCTAGTTTGGAAGCAAAAGAAACCTAATGTGATGTCTCAACAGGATTAAGTGACTAACTCATGGAGCGAATACGAAAATCTGATATCCACAATCGAATTTGTCCAGTAAATCTTAACACGGATCACTTACCTGTAAAAGTTCGCAATCAGATTAGCTGATTTGTTCCATTTTGGGATATCCACAGTAGAAACTGGAGAGCGGGATAAGAACAGATGATTTCGACCATCTATGCAACGCATACATCCCAGGTGGTTGGAAATTCATAAGTCGAAATTGTCGCCTGTGTCAAACGTATGGAAGATGAGTTTGAGAATTCTATGTAGATATTGGTTTTACGCTGTCGTTGCGTTATAAAAGTGATAAACCGTAACCCCTGATGATAAAAACGAGAAAAGAAAGTGAAATTTCATGATGTCCATGCTTCCCAGTCACGTTCACGTGAGCTGTGGAAGGAAACATTTGATCCAGGTTATCTTACCACCATAATAGTGTCAGTGTATCTAAAAAGGAATCGGAGATGTTCATTCATTTCTATTTTAATTTGTTCGTATGCACGCGTCTCCAAACCAATTAAACGGCTCCAGTTCACTATCGGACTGGAAGTTATCCAGGTGGTCGAAATACATTAGAATCACTGTGTTGTTTTTGACTTACATAATATTTGATTTTCAGTAAACTCCTTGTATTTCATGAAACGGTAGTTTTTTCTCTACTTAACTTTGAACACGTGCTTTTCTTTGAAGGAATCTCTTATTGCCTCTTATTATCAGTTATTTTGAAGGAATCTCCTTACTGCCTGGAATGACTGGACGGAGCGAGTCAGGAAAGGAGGAAGTGCAAAAATTCAGTGGTGACGGAGGTTCAGAAGAATTGAAGGTCACTTTGCCAATTCTTCAAAAAGCACAGTAGCTTTTATGTCACTTGTTATCCACTATTATTTTTTATGTAACTGTTAGATCTTATCGTCTCAGTAGTTTGTTTTATGTTAATAAGTGGTTGATAAGTCTTGCATTGATCGAAGCGATCTCGTCTCCTCCACGTTTTCGTTTTCAATTTCCCTGCTAGCTATACTCCTTGGTTAGTCACACTTTGCTTCCCGTATTGCCTCTTAATCACTTATGTTAATGATTTCATTAGATATTGGTTTGGTTTAGACTTTGTTAATCAGCAGTGCATAAAAACTTAGGTCTCTTCTTGTTTTCGTCGTTTTTGGATTTATCCGCTTCTACTTCGATGAGAGATGGTTTCTTTTTACCGCTTTTTGTAGTTCGCAGTTTATTTAGCGTTGATGGCTACTGGTCCACCTGTCCAGTCAGCTGTTCCTGCATTCCTATCTTGGTCGTACTGGACTGAGAAGTACAAAGTCCTATCTTCCCCTAGTGACTTAAAACAGTCAGAACAACAAGATAGCTGTCCTTCTACTTCCAAATCATCATTGCAAGTATGTTCTTGCAAGCATGTTATTTCTGATCAACGATTCCTCGAAGATTCTTTTTTTCTTGAGGGGAACCAGTCTTCGACGTTACTGCGACCATCAGATGTCAAACCGCAACTGTCGACTAGTCAGAAAATTTCGGGGTGGCATAGGATGCGATCTCTGTATGAGGAACCGTGCATGGAAAGAGATTACTCTCAGAGGGTACTGTTTTGGTATATAATATGTTCATAATACGACTGTGCCATATACTAAGCTATGTTTAGATTATTAGAATGGCATTCTTAAGTGGTTTTTTCTTGGGCGGTTATTCGACAGTTGCGCAGGCACGTGAAACATTTGAGAGAAGCAACGTAGGAAGGAAATATTTAAGCCCAAGTGATGAATTTGTGAGTTTTCGTGGTCCGTAGTACCTTAATAATTAGTCGTGTAATTTATTGTTCACGATTAGTCCCGTAATTTTTGCAGAAACGGAAGGCGGACTATGCCATTGTGCGGTTTGCCAAGAGTGGTTTCGTCATGGGCTTCAAGTGCGCCTTGATTTCTGGCTCGATTGTGTACGTCTCTTAACATCAGTTAACCATCCAGTCTTCTTCAAGAAAGAAGGGAAAAAAATTGCCATTGGAGTTCTCGTTGTAGCTGCTGTTGTCATTCCGAAGCAGCAAAGTCTATTATTAAACGAGACTAACAACAAGCAGCGCACGCTATGTCTTACTACACGAGTTGCGTAGTTATTTAATGAGCATTGATCTGCCCATCCTTGGAAGAAAAAAAACCGAGTAGAAAAAAAGATATGGTTTCGTTCTTTGGATATATTAAAAGTTTCTATTTCGCTCATAGTGGAATCTACGAGTGCCACTTCACGATTACTTTTAATTTGTGTCGTGCTGGAAATAAATGCGAGTGGTTCATATGGGTTCAGATGGGTAAATGGGTGTGTACAAGGGTGTTACATGTCTAAATGAGTTGCGTACATTTCTATGCATTTGTCCAAATGTGTGCTGTTTGGGTTAAGTTTACTGTTCCAACTCGCGTAGACTATTCTTATCAAGTGAGCGTTCTGTCAGTGTTTTCTTTTTTCTTCAAGTGTATTCCTCTGGATTACGAGGACTAATTTTTTGAGGGCCCGAACTGAGTTAGGACTTGGTTTCCTTTTTTTCATTTTCCTGTTGTGTCCCATAAGTACGAGCATTACATGCAGTCTGGTTTATTCGAATATCGGCCGCAACAATGTGTATTCAATTTCTTGGATGATGGGGTACTAGGATTCACACAGTAGGTGTGAAGATACGTTATATAAGATAAAAAGAAATATTTTCCTTCTAAAACGTTTGTGAAGAACTCGATCATCGAGATGGGAGTCTTTTAAATGTGTAGTGGATACCGTGCGTCCTATGCAGTCATTCCCATTTCTTGGCTAGTATGGGTTATACCAGGGTCATCTTTCCGATGGTCTATTTTGGCTCGCAGAATTTTCTTCCTACCCTTCCTGTATTTGCGCTTAGAGATATGCAAAGCATATTTTCTCGAATGGGTTCATACACTGGTAATTTCTCAGGCAATTTACAGTTATTTCAATTCTGATCGTTCTAATGAATCATGATCAGTTTATGGAAAATGCGAATGTACAAACTGATGAAAGTGAAATAACCAAAACTTTATCCCAAAATAAAAATTTGCAACAATCTCACGTTAGCTTGTCAGTGGAAAAAGACGGTTTTCCGTGTCGAGGTTCATTGAAAGGCAGTAAAAGCTAAAAAGATAAAACTCTCGGCATTCATCAATCCCTGAGGGATGCACCGTGCATGCGACTTCATCAAGCATCGTTAGAGGTGATTGAATGCATATCTGGCCTTTACAATGACTCACGATGGCCTGCCGATGTATCGATCCAGTGCCGCTATCCTCCTAGACAAATCTGGTACCAATTTGCCGATCCCGAAGAGATGGAAAGCTTAGTGAGACTTGGGCACTGAGCTTGGTCCTCGGGCGCGAGGATCGATCCCACGTGTGTTGCAGGGCGCCTTCGACCACTACGTTACACACGAAAGGTAGTATTGATGTTATTTTCATCACTGTTTGTACCACAAAAGGCTGTTAATAAGGAGGAGGGATTCGTCCCATGACTATATAGCCGATGATAAACGCCAGCAAAATTGTGATAATAGAGTTTATCTCGGTCATAATAGCTTTATCGCATTCTTGTGGAATAGTGTGAAAATGAAATGGAGGTTCCGTTGTAGCATGGGTGTGCGGTTTACATTGCAGTAGCGAATACGTGTATTTCGTAAAGGATTTGTTTACTGTAGGCTGATTACAGGGTCTTGACGACACATTTGGCAGCATATCGACAACGGTTCTCGTCGTGGTACTTCCCAGCGATTTCAGGTGCGCTCGCGCTCTCGCTGCATAGAGGTATGGCAGAGTTTGCCTTTCTCTTGATTGCAAGACTCATATTTGTAGCATTAGTCGGTGGTATCTTCATGTTTCCTCTTGGCATCATCGGATCGTTGAAGGCAGTTGCTTTAGGAATAACGTCGGGGTTCGTTTTAAATTTTTACCTCATTGTTTTAATTCTGCCTCAAAGTCCTTCAAATCGAATCGTACTTTTTAAATTTTCTCTCCGGCTTTAGATTGTAGTTAAGTTTTCGACTCATCTGCTTTTTAGCAGCTGACTTTTTTTTTGCAATAATCATTCTGTAAGTGGATTATTCATTGTTTTTTTTTGCCAACAAGGAATCCTCCCAACAGTTTGCCGCCCCATTGTGGCTGGGAGGTGTTCCTGCGCTGCAATTACAACGGACAATTCATCACCTCGGCAGGGTCTGCCAAGCTGAGGAGTCCGGCGTTTCCACCACGAAACCCAGCTGAGTTAGCCAATACCAGGATCCACCACCCCTTGATATTAAATTAGTCGCTTGATGGCAAATTTCGTTCTGATACACAAGGGCTGCGACTGCCTATGCTGGTAAAGACTTGGGGCAGACTTTGGTTAGGTTGACTTCGGGCCTCCAAGGAAGCACAATAGCTAAACCAACAACTGCGAAAAATGGAGGTTATGTTGGGTGCCATACAACCAGTAAGGACGGGCCGTCCGAGTGTCCACGTAAGTGAATATATGGCGCAGTGGCAACCATATTTAACCATTACATTGTCGAAATGCGAGATATTCGCGTATCATTCATTTCTGTACCATCTTTGATCACTAGAACTAAATTCTTACTCTACATCGTTATGCTTCTTGATGCAGTGGCAAATCATATGTTCAGTTTCTCTTCTTAGAAACCCATTGTATATATAAATAACGAGTAAACGTATATCTATATGCAATTATGTATAAAACGTTTTACTTGCTGCAATGGTGACGAAGTGATGAAGTTTCTTACTGTCGCAAGTTTAATGTAAGGAGCACCGAGAATGAATAGAAACATCAACTGTTGCGCAATAAATCCAAGATAGCAAATCTCATCAGACCAAATAACGTGGTTTTGAAGGTTGACATTATCTGCTGGAGTGCACATATTCGCTCTCGGCATGAACAAATCTGTGGATGAAGCGTACTGGGCATTTAAAGAAAAGTATGATAGTGTGAGTTCATTTTGAAACACAGCTAGTGTTTTTGTTTGTCTTGTAAATTTAGTTTAGAAATTACGCACTGATCAAGAATGGGAAGACCGAGTGACTGAACTGATGAGGTCAGAAGGCATCAAATGGAGGGGAAATGCTGCAATAAAGCTAAGAAAACTGGACGAAGAGAAGCTCGCTGTGCAAGATACTTGACACTTAATCATCCATTGAATCTGTAAGTATGATTGCAAAGGTAATTCTCGCTGATTAGAACTAAGCACATTCGTTTAGGAGGTAGGTTCCATGTGTTTTTATATAGGGAAGATTTTCACTGTACGAGAGTTATATTCGCCTTGTTTTAAGTATTTTAACGTTCCTAACGGTTTATGTTGAATGTTGAATGAATGCTACCTGGCATCGTGATTAGCAATCTGTCACTGTTCTTCAAGCTACTTCTCTATGTGGAACTTGTATGAATTGCGCGTATTGAATTAATTGTTAACGTGATAAAATTGTCGAAGGATTAAACCTATGAACGATACAACATAACTCAAGAAGGCGTGTTCCAGGCAAATACTTTTGGTAATCATCTTGTGTGAACTCTTCTTTACACTTTCGGGACCATATATACCATTTTATCTGCATTATTTTTACTCTTTATATTTTCCATTATCTTACTGTACAGGTAGGCTGGCTTAGAACACTTTCGCTTGTGAGGAAGTTCCTTGATGTCACGGAAGAAGGGCAATTGCACCGTAGTTGGTGTGGATTAAGTTCAGAATATTTTTCGAAAACTAGGCTTTATTTATCATTGCGAAAATATGAACACTTAGAGTCACATAAGTCTTCGCGGTCAGCGTTGTGATTGCAATTGATTTCCATCAGGTCTCCACAAAAAAGTGAGTCTTATTCTGTTCGCACTTTTGCTGAGCAAACGCGAGGTGTTATTATTCTTTGTTCACGATTAAGCTGACGTTTCGGCGAATTTCGCCTTCGTGGAGTGGTGGCTCATGGAGTGGAGACCTCATAGAAAGCGGCTCTGAAGAAGGCGAAATTCGCCGAAACGTCAGCTTAATCGTGAACAAAGAATAATAACACCTCGCGTTTGCTCAGCAAAAGTGCGAACAAAATCACTTGATCAATGCCGAGGTTAGTAGAAAGTCGGTCGTGGCAGTTACTGCAAGATGAGTCTTATTCTGTTTTGCTCATATTGTAGTCTTTACACGTAATTCGGTCCTTGTACGTATTTTTGTAGTTATTTGTTAGATTTTGTATACTCTATATGTCTTTCTTTTTACTTTTCCATGTTTTTGGAACATTTAAAAGTCTGGTGTGTGATGAAAAAGAGGTCGTTCACCATCCAGACATTATGTTATGAACGGTAGTAGTCGGGATAATGACATACGCTTATTATATCTTAGCATTTATAACGCTTAACTGATGGTATACGTCGATAGTAATACAAGTGCCCAATTTTGTGTGGCGCTCACGTGGGATGTAGCGTAGTCCCATCTCGGTTACAATCTTGAGTGAGGCTGTCATTCAAACATGACACAATGCGAAATGCTGCTGTTTTGGCAATAAACAGTGGTTTTCGTGCTCCTGGTGTAAATAGGACTTTACTGTATTGCTTCATATGTAAAAATACTTGATATTTGGGTGGAGGCCCGTCTTCACTGGTTGTGCAGGCTCCAGCACAATTTCCGTTTTTTTCGGAGTTTTGCTAGTTTAACCACTGTAGTTCCATTGAGTACCAAGGTCACTCAAACCAAGGTCTGCCCAAGACCGTCATCACCACAGGCAGTCGCCTCCTGTATGGACCGGAGTGAGATTTGCCACCATACGGCTACAGTCTGATATCAGAATGGTGGTGGATCCTGATATTGGTTTATTCTTAGATAGACTTCCTAATGGAAATGCTTCATATATATATATATATGTATATATATATATGTATATATATATACATATATATATATATATACAGGGCCATGATAACGCAGTGGTTAGTGGTGCCGTCGACGAGGAAGAAAAAAGTGCGAGTTCGATCTCGCCCCTAGGGCTCTCCTCCAATGCACGTGAGAGCGTCTTATTCCGGCTATCTCCAGGCTTGCAAGAATTGCCTCGAGTAGCACTCTAAAACATTTATAAAGGCGAAATCCTCAAGCAGCATCTGAAACAACACGCGAAATATTCGAAGACCATTGTGGAGGATGAATACGAGGAAAACGAAGCGAATGCAAATGCTGGGATCCGCGCAGGGGATATGATAACGGGTCATGTAGAATAAAAACATGTCCATAGTGTTGCTACTTAGTACACATTAGTCCGGTCAGCCATGGAAGAATATTATTATTACAATATAAATGCGTCGTTTTCTTGTTCAGCAATCGCGAGGTTTTTAAACAGCATACATTTACTTCCATAGAAAAACAATACAATACAACACTAGCTGAAGTTTTGGCAGTATCGCCTTCTTCAGAACCTGGAAGGGTATACTGATATACAATCTACTAGGCCAAACGCTCCAATAACACTTACAAAAAGAAAAACTCTATGGTAATTACATGATCAACAGCTTCTCGAAAAACCCACCGCTTTTTCGTGACTTCCAATGAGGAAGTTTAGAACAGCTGATTATAGTCGCATATGGTTGACGACTGCACCATCCCACATCAAAAATCTACGCGAACATACGGGGTCAGGTCGCGTATGACCTCCACGCATTCATCCCTGCTATTCATTGTAGGGTTTTTGGCATTTATCCAAAAAGCCTCAAGAAGTTTTCGCGCTGGTGTTTTGGACTCCTGTGCAAGGATATTGACTTTTACTTCAAAATCGTCTCCGCTATGCTTTTGTATCCTATGCGTGCCTAGTGGGATGCTTCGCTAATATATTCATCTCGGCAATTATTACAAGAGATCAGATATATCGTACCTCACCAACACCCAAATGTTCCTAGAACGTCTACGTAACGCGTCTCCTAATAACACGTACGTGATGGAATCTTTCGACGTTACAGTGCTGTACACCAACGTGTCGAATAACTCCGCAATGCAAGCCATCTTCGAGCTTCTTGTTGAACATGAAGGAAGAACAAATATGCATGGCTTGTTCATCCAGCAGCTAATGGCTCTCTTAAAGGAGTGCCTAAACTGCTCGATTTTCAGATGGTCTGGGAAATATTTCGCCCAAATAAGGGGGTTTGCAATGGGACAGCGATTGGCACCAAGCCTGGCCATTGTGTTTATGTCTAAGATAGAAGCCCCTGTTCTCGATATCCGGCCACTACTCTACTGCAGACATTTAGATGATTGTTTTGTCGTCTTCTCTACGCAGGAGGGGATGGACAAATGCTTTGAATTATTGAACGAAGTCCGAGTACATAAAGTTCATCCGGGAGAAACCGAGAAAAAACTGGCTTCTGTTTTTAGACGTTCAAATAGACCTATCAAGTAGCGGTTACCTGACAAAGTGGTATCGAAAGCCAAGTAACAAGAACATTCTTGTTCATTTCCTTTCTTCCTACCCTT